CTAGGATGCGCGCGCGAATGTAATCCACGCTCCACTGGGGCTGTTGAGAGTTGAGGTTGATCGCAAGGGCAGACCACGACTCCGGCAGCCGTATTACAAACTCCACGCATTGCACGAGCTCCGGGTACACCACACCGCCGCCTTGGAGCTTCGTGAAGATGTCCCGCATCTCATCCAACACCGGTTGCATCGGCTCTCCATCAACGAACTTGATGTCGCGCAGCCGCCGCACGAGTAGCACGATGCCGGTAGCGTGTGTCGGTGAGTGCACATCCAGAAGCTTCCTCCAAGCCTTGGGGCCACACTCTCGATCACACAAGAGGTCCTTGATGTGGTCAAGTTGCCGTCCGCCAACCGCTTGCACCATGAGCATGTATGCGTCAAACGAGCACTTCATCCATGCTCCTTTCAGCTCCGCGGCATCCGGCATCTTCTCCTTCCCGCTTGTATTGGGTGTACATCAGCCTCATGCGGAAGCTCCAGTGCTCGTATTCCTCCCCCATGAATTTCTCAATAGAGAACGCTTTCACGGGATCCGTGGTTGTAGGAGATGGTGTAGAAGTTGACGGTAGCATAGGGTTGGCTGGTTGGTGAGTCCCCACTCCACCACCAGCAACTCTCCCCTGCTCTCCAGCCTCTCTACCTCTAGCCATCTTGCCATTAGCACCTCTAGAGTCTGTTCCAATCATATTGAGGCCTTATGAACGGTGGAAACTTGAGAAATCGTTTGGAGAGAATTCTACCCGAAAATTCGATTCTACGAAAATCACCGTCGCGGACTCGATACTTCAAATTAGAACACGGTTTGACCACCAATTGAAAGTTCGCGAGCAGAGCAACTAGAAACTGGTCCTCGTCATCATTGGTCGAGAATTGATGACGATTCGTCGTCTCAAAATGGACTATCCGCTCTGATACCACTTGTTGTTCAGGATCCGTCACTTTGAAAACTTACGACGAACTCATTTCTCAACTAAACGCAAATCCGCTCGGTAGGATGCTGCGCGTTAGGCTTAGCTACCATCTACAATTTGAATCATCTAAAAGGATGGTCTAGAGAGTGAGAACAACGTGAAAACGTTCAGCAGCTGTATGACTAGAATGGTAGAGGAAATTGGAGTTGGGGACTCCAAGAGAACCATGAGAGGGAAGGGGTTTTCTAAGAGCTAGGGAAGGATGGTAGGAACCTTCCTAGCAGCAATGTTGCAACCCTCATCATGAGGTCCTTGAGGTGTCACATGCAAAATCCAATCTAGTTGGATTTTGCCTAGGTGTTGCAACATTTGCAACCCATGCTAGAAACTTCTAGCCACCCCAATCCAAAAGTCAAAGTTGCCTTCCCTATTTACCCAACCAAATATCCCTTTACAGTCGTGTCCCAATAGTCACCCAAATTAGATATAACCCCAAAAGGTGATAAGAAATCCAAGTCTTGGAAATCTTGTAACTTGGGCGATCTTGGTCGGAATAAGGTGATCTTGGCATCGTTGGAAAGCTCTGGAAATCTCCTGCATGATCAAGCATTTAAACTTGGAGAATAACACAGAGATGATAATATCCAACAGCCATGCACAATGACATATGCTCATGCAAACAATGCACGCATGAACAGCACGAGCACTCGGCAGGACGTTGGGATAACATGCACTCAGAATGAGGTGCATCCAACACATGCTCCTCCAGGAAGTTGCTCAGCAAGCCATTGTAACTTAGTGTAATTTACGCCGTATTTGTTGTAGCAAGCCCGCAGCCTTCCTGCGGTGTTGTGCATCATGGCAGCCACACATGTGATGTCCACCTGCACATATCTCAACAAGCGAGAAGTTAGTTTGAATCACTTTCCTTAATCAGTTTACAAGACAACTGGGTTATTAGAGCCTTATCGTCCGGCGCTGAAACTTCTTGTTCAGTTTGTTGAGCTCCTTGAGCACATTTGCCAGGAAAAACAAGAAGAAGTGAAACTTGAAGCTGGTGACTTTCTTGTACGCTTCCTGTCGTGCTCCCACAGCACGACGCTGGAAGTACAGGTAAAAGCCGCAGTATCGCCTTGCCGCGCGACAGCCAACAGATGTCCTTTATCCCCTGCATCTCAAGAGTAGTCACGTGCAGGATTTTCTGCATCTCGATGAATCATGAGTGCTCGACGATGCTGCGTCCGTGGTTGCCGGCGACGCTCCGAATAACATGGTCGACGAGGTTGAAATCAGGCATTGCTTCCACGGCATCTTTCGCTGCGAGTGCCTCTATGCAATGGTAAGAACGTCATAATAAAAAACGTGAAGCAACCATCGCATGAGTAGACCGATTGTAAACGTGAAGCAACCATCGCGCCAACAAATGTATTACACATGGGGAGATACATGCATATGTGCGATGCAGTGGCACGTGACAAGCTGCGTTACTCGAACCGTAGTTGAGTCACCACTCCAGTGTTTCCTCCCCTCATCACGCTTGTGCCGTCCGTCGCGATGCCCGTGATTTTGTTGATGTTAACGCCGGTGCTCTCCAGACGATCCAGCATCACGATCAGAAGAGACGAAGCGTCACACTTCTCGACGGTCAAATGGCCGAAGAATTCGGTCACGGTCTTTGCGTCCCGGACGAAGGACAAGCATATAAGAATGTGTTTACCCCTTTGACGGTATGTGCTATCGTCCAATTAAATGTCGCGAAACGGTGAAGACTGGATGTGGCGCATCTGCTGTTGCTTCAGGTTTACCACAAGTGCCTCGGTCATCTCGCGGAAGCCGTACCTGCGCAGCAAAGGCAGGAAAGGTCAGATGGTGGTATAAAAAAAAAAAACAGTAAGTACTACAACAATACGTACTCAGATTAATACGTTCCTATCGCCTTATCAGGTATGTCATGCGTCCCCATGTCTGCCAAAAGGCGCACAAGAACAGCAAACCCGAAAATAGGGGAATCCGACTTGCAGATAAACAGGACCGTGAGCATGAGTTTCTTCAACCGAGCCGTCTCCTTGTCCGCGTTCTCGAAATCCGCAATGCCTCGTTGCGCGACCTTAGCGCCTTCTACGCGCAGCTGGTGGTCGACCGCCTCCTGATGCTTCTTGCTGAGGCTATGCTTCCGCATAGACTGCCACTGAATGTCAGCCCCGCTGTCGCCAAACTTCCCGTATTTCCAATGTGGAGGACCGTGAGTCATGCATGGCGTGCCATCTTTCCTCTGTGAAATGACAAGCCAGCTGAACTTGCCCTTCCAAAATTGTTTCGCCTTCGTTAGGAGCTCTGACATCAAACTGTCAGGATCAGATACGTGAAGGGTAGACGGGCCCGGATCTTCGTGTGGATCCCCGGCTGTGCAGCTGGCCGTAAAGACGCCTCTCCTTGTGTAGGAGGCGCGGTAGAGCGAGAAACTATGCAAACGTGAGGCACGCGAGTCTTTGCAAAACGGAGGGTGCTCTGGGTGAAGCGCCCCACCTTAGGGAACCGAGGCTCGGCGTGTGAACGCGCTCTCTGAGATCGCGCGGGACGGTGAGAAGGAGGCCTAGGCGAGACGAGCGGTGTGCTACTTGAAACTCGCCGAGCATTGAGCTCAGGCAAAATCACGGGCGCCACCTCAGCGGCTACTACACGGGCAGATCCTACGGCGGCTGGCTGGGCCCTACGCAGAAAGTCCAGGCTTGTCATAGGTGCATGGGCCTGTGGGGGGGACTTTTCCGCAACGTCCTTGTCGTCCGCCATGGCGAGGAGATGGACGGGTATCGAAAGTGGTTGCGTAATAGTAGATACTAGCGTGAATGCGTCTATTCAAAGAGGGGGTTGGAGAAGAAGGGACCCCTGAAACCCCAGTTGTGCAACTACATATGCCTTGGACGAAGCGCGAATTATAGAAGGACAATGGGTGGTTCCACTTGTTTGTGGTGCCACCGCAACTTGGTTCTTGAAGCTTCTGTAGGCGCCGAATGCGGCTATTTTGTGATGTGGAAGTGGCTGTGCTGTCTCTTCATTGACCAATCCGGCCAGTCCTAGCAGGCCACGCACAACACGCTTGCTCTATACGTGGTCGGTGCATGACGGGGAATTACCTGAATCAGCAGAGTTTTTTGCGAAATCACATGTTGCAGCAGCATCTTGTGCAATGGTGGCCCAGTGGTCACGTGCAGGGACGAGGCGCGAAATCGAAAGTGTCCGCAATCCGGTAATCAGGAAACACATTGCATGCATGCCTAAATCACGGCTAAGGGGAAAAGTCTAGGTATCAGACGAAACCGAAACAGGTTTCTAATGTATCAGACGAACCGAAAAAATCTTGTCATTCCCATTAGTAAAATGTAAAAATCGCTTCTTTCCTATCAGATAAAACAAAAACCAATTTCTGAAAAATCAGATAAACCATAAAAAAATTGCCTGATAATAAGACAAACGGACAAGAAATTTTTGATAGGGAGGACCCTGATTTGATCATAGCGAGACTTGGCTGCAACCTGCCTAGTGGACCTCTTGCTGCCCCACCAGGCTTCATTTCCTGCATGGCAGAGATGGCAGTGGGAGTGAGTGGGGGACGGGAGTGAGATGGTGGTGGGAGTGAGCGGAAGGTCTGGGTGAGGCCAAGAGGACAATGCATGCACAGCCCTCCCCCTCCTGCCACAGCAGTCCCTCACACTCCACCTGCCCCTCCTGCCCGTCCGTATCTCCCACCTTTGTCGCCCTCCTCCCCACCACTCATGTGTCAACTGCCTCCTGCTCTGTCTCCTCCTCACAGCTGTCTGCCCCCCTTCGCCTCCGCCAACAACGCTCCTCAAGAGGCTGTGTGCCCTATCAGTGTCTGCTCGGCCCCTGCAATCTCAACCCTTCCCCCGCACCCCTCCCCCTCTCATGCACGCTCCTCGGGAGGCTGTGCGTCCCACCAGTGTGTGTTCGGCCCCTGCAATCACACGCCCCCCACCCTCCCCCCATCCATCTCCCATGCACGCTCCCAGCAGGCTGTGCAACCCGTCAGGGTGTGAGATATTATTTTTCAGAAACTTCATAAAAAACTCACAAGTAGACGAGGTACTGCAGGCCACTGGCTGCATCATCCACACCCAGGGATGGGGGAAAGGATGGTCCTGGAGATGGGGTTGGGGTTGGAGAAGGGGATGGGGATGTTGAAAGGGAAGAAGACGGGGTGGGGTGGGGGGGGGGGGGGGGGGGGGGGGGAGGGGATGGGACCGGGAATGGGACTGGGGATGGAAATGGGGAGAAGGAGGGGGAGACACTGATACGGAGTGACGTCTGAAATGCACTCCTGCAGGGTGATGAGAAGAAGCAGGGGCAGTGGTACAGAGAGGCCGGTGGGACAGGCCGTGAGGGGTCAGGAGGAGAGTTTGGTGAGGTGAGTGATGGGGTGGGGGGAAGGATGTGTCATTGTGAAAGTAGTTTTTTATGTCTTTAGCGCAGTGAGTGTTTCGGAGATGCAGGTGCGACAGCCCAGGGGGGGCCAGAGGGAAATGCGAGTGAGATGGGAGTGAGAGAAGTGGTGAGAGATGGGAAGGGGGGAGGAAGAAGGGAACGATGTGGTATATTATCAATCCCCGTTAGTCCCACATTCCCACATTGGATAACACCAGGGCAGGCATTCGCAAGGCGTGCAACACCGAGAGTGGCATGAGCATGACACCAGCTCAAGTCAAAAGAGACCTCAGATTAGAGTGACTCGACACTGACCTGAGACTGACCTGAGACTGACCTGAGAATGACCTGAGACTGACCTGAGAATGACCTGAGACTGACCTGAGACTGACCTGAGACTGACCTGAGACTGACCTGAGAATGACCTGAGACTGACCTGAGACTGACCTGAGACTGACCTGAGACTGACCTGAGAAGCGTGATCAGAGGAGGAAATGGAGTGGAGCCATGATGGGAAGGAGAGCATGGGGGTTCAGGCAGGTGAGCGTCAAGTGAGGCTGCATGAGGCGATTTTGAGAACTATCACAGGCAACTCAGATGTAGCTGGTTCGAAGTTAACTCAAATTCTAGTGTGTTGGATGTCATACTCTTGGTTATAGAACCGCTTGGTGCGAGCACGGAACAATATTGGAAGGTCACCATCTAGGTACTTACGGCAGTCCCTTGATGACCTTCGAGGCGATAAGTCCTTTTGGCTGGTAGGCCCCAGTCTTGTCCATCTTGGAAAGGCAGTCCGTCTTGGAAAGGCAGTCCGTCTTGGAAAGGCAGTCCGTCTTGGTAAGGCAGTCCGTCTTGGTAAGGCAGTCCGTCTTGGAAAGGCAGTCCGTCTTGGAAAGGTAGTCCATCTTGGTAAGGCAGTCCCTCTTGAAAAGGCAGTCCGTCTTGGAAAGGCAGTCCGTCTTGGTAAGGCAGTCCGTCTTGGAAAGGCAGTCCTTCTTGGAAAGGCAGTCCGTCTTGGTAAGGCAGTCCGTCTTGGAAAGGCAGTCCGTCTTGGTAAGGCAGTCCGTCTTGGAAAGGCAGTCCGTCATGGAAAGGCAGTCCGTCTTGGAAAGGCAGTCCGTCTTGGAAAAGCAGTACGTCTTGGAAAAGCAGTCCGTCTTGGAAAAGCAGTCCATCTTGGAAAAGCAGTCCGTCTAGGAAAACCAGTCCGTCTTGGAAAAGCAGTCCATCTCCGAGGCAGTCCGTCTTGGTAAGGCAGTCCGTCTTGGTAAGGCAGTCCGTCTTGGAGGCAGTCCGTCTTGGTAAGGCAGTCCGTCTTGGAAAGGCAGTCCGTCTTGGAAAGGCAGTCCGTCTTGGTAAGGCAGTCCGTCTTGGTAAGGCAGTCCGTCTTGGAGGCAGTCCGTCTTGGTAAGGCAGTCCGTCTTGGTAAGGCAGTCCGTCTTGGTAATGTTATAGATTCAGGACGGAGTCTATGAAGATTAGGGGCTGAAATATCTCAAAATCGTCAACTACAATTCTGGACAGAAAAGTCGTCGTCACAAGAAACGTCGTCGACGAAAGGTCCACTGTTAGAATTCTTTCAAACTCGAGTATGTTGTAGCCCTTGACCGTGGCTATCTTTCCCAATTTGAATAGTATCAGAATATGGAGTATAACTCGAGTTATGAACTTCGGCGCACTAGGGGGTATGCTGCCATAGAAAACGTAACTCAATCACAATGATCTCACAAGTTCACACAAGAAAGTTAGAGTAGCAATAGAACCAGGTAGGAGGGGATGAGGAGGACGAGAGGGAAGGTCCCAAGAGAGTCCCCAACCAAGGAAACCCCATGCCATACAATTCCCTTCCCATAGGCAACCCAACTTTGACCTTTGTCACTATCCCAACCTCCACAATCCACCTCAACCCAACTTGGCCACACTTGCCAACCTGGTTTGGTTTCTCCCAACCATTTGGCAGCAACTACAGTAGAAAAGACGAATTTCCCAACCCCCAAAAGTCTGTACCCCATATTGAGTCAACCCCACAACTTCCCATAGTCACCACAACCAAATATCAAAAGCATACGAACTCCAACGTTCGTAACTTTCTAGTTCGTGCTCCGATTGAAGCGATACTTGGTTCCTTTGAAAGCTCTTGAGCAGAGGAGTCACTTCAGATATCTGCTCAAGCCAAATAACATTCACACACACACTCAGAAAAACCAAACCGCACAAAACACAAATTCTTGCACACACTCACAACACGCATGCAACGCACGAACATATGATGGGAGGCAGACAGACGTGAATGCGAATGGTAGCATCACTCAACAAACTCCCCCTCTGGCTGCCAACCATCATCCCACATGCCATAGCTCAAGCATGCATCCTCAATGCACACTCATCCCAGCAAGCTTCATGCCCTTCCAATGCTCAGATTCAGCCAGGCGCTTGGTGAGAATGTCAGCCGCCTGCTGATGGGTCTTCACAATCTCCAGCCGCACCTCCTTGTCCAGGAGCCTCCTCACCCAATGCCACTTAGGCCTGATGTGCTTCGTCAGCCCATGAAGGCAAGCGTTCTTAGCAAGCTTCACAGCCGACTCGTTGTCACAGAAAATCACAGTTGGCTCCTTTTGGCACACTCCGATCTCCTCCAACAAACGCCTCAGCCACACCACCTCCTTTGCCCCATGATGCAGAGCCATGTACTCTGTCTCACACGAGGACTGCCCCACCTCGTTCTGCTTCTTGCTGCGCCAGCTCACTGCACCACCTCCAAACAGGCACACATAGCCTCCAATGCTGGTGCCATCCGCCTTCACAGAGTTGAAGCTAGCGTCGGTGTAGCAGGTCAGGAGCATCTCCCCCTTGCCCAAATCAGCTGCACCCCTCTGCAGCCTCTGTCGCACAGCACTGTACTCCAAGCCCACTAATGCCGTAGCGCTCACATAGCGGACCAACCTCTTGGCCGCTTCCAGCTGCTCATGACTGGGGCGTGAAACCACACTTGCAAGCCTGGATGTAGCAAAGGCAATGTCAGGCCGCGTGTAGTTAGCCGCATAATTGAGTGCCCCCACCATGGAATGAAACAGCTTCCTGTCACTCTCACCCACCACCTCCTCTTCAGCACAGGGCTCCACAGTGAACCCCGAAGGCAGTGGGGTGGCTGGCTTTCCTCCATCTTGCAGCCCATACTTCTCAGCCAGCCCCTCACAATACTTTCTCTGGTGCAACCTCAACACTCCCTTGTCAAGGTCCCTCTCCACATGCATGCCCAAATAGTACTTCACATCTCCCATCTTGGAGCACTTAAACTGCATCTCCAGCATCTCCTCCACATGCTCAATCATTGCAGACGACTCAGAGAAGAGCAGGATGTCATCCACATACACCAGGAGCATGAGAAACTGCTCCTTCTCCTGCAGCAGGAACAAGCTGTGATCACACTCACTCTTCTTGAAACCCCCAGCCAGCAGAGTCTCCTCTAACTTGTGGTACCATGCACGAGGAGCCTGCTTCAGGCCATAGATGGCCTTCTTCAGCCTGCACACCCTGCCGCTCCCATCATACAAACCCTCAGGCTGTAACATGTACAGCTCCTCCAGAATGATCCCATTGAGGAAGGCGGTGGTGATGTCCATCTGCTTCACCCGCCATCCACGGTATGCTGCCATTGCCAATGACACCCGAAGTGTTGTGCCTTTCCCCACAGGAGCATAGAGCTCGTTGAAGTCCTTTCCCTTTGTCTGCTGAAACCCCTTAGCCACAAGCCTTGACTTGTAGCGGGTCAGCGCCCCATCAGGTCCGTACTTGTACCTGAAAATCAGCTTGGAAGAAATGGCCTTCTTCCCAGGTGGCAGCTCACACAGCTCCCACGTCTCATTCTCTAGCAGAGAATCATACTCCTCATTCACACTCTGCTTCCACTTTTCAGCATCGGGCCCGCTCAATGCCTCAGCTAGCGTCTTGGGCTCAGGGACGGCTGCCCAGTAGCAGTGTGCTATCTCATCCTCATCACACTGCTCAGCCACACTCCCAGCCCTTACCACCTTTGGCTTGCCACGGCTTGCATAGGTCAGCCTGTTAGGAGGGCGCACATCCCTCCTAGGACGGTCAGCCGTACGTCCGGCACCTTGTGGAGCACCTTGCTCCTCCTGCTGCTGCGGCTGCTGCTGCTGTTGCTGCTGCTGCTGCTCCTCCACCTCAGGTTCTCCCCCATCCTCTGTCACCCCAGAGATCTCATTCTCAGAGACAGAAACCTCCACTTGCCTTGAAGGCCGCTGCACCTCATCGGCCTCTACAATTAGCGGTGTCGTTGGAAGCTTCTGCTGCTGCTGCTGCTTCCACTCCTTGTAGTACAAGGACTCAAGGAACTTCACATCCCTTGACACAGTCAGCTGCTGGCTGGTCAAGTCCCAAATCAGCCAGCCCTTGTGATCCTTAGCAAGCCCCAAGTGCACACCCCATCTCCCAGAAGCTTCCAGTTTTCCCCTCTTCTCCTTAGGCACATGAAACACCACCATGCACCCAAAGGCTCTCAGCATGTTCACAGCTGGTGCAATCCCATACCACTTGGTGTAGGGGACCCACTGCTTGTCCCCCACAGTCGCCAGCACCCTGTTCTTCACAACAACGACCTGCCGCAGTGCTGTCACCCAAAACGGATCCGGCAGCCCTGCACGCCCAAGGAGAGTGCGAGCACCTTCCTGCAGGGTCCGGTTGAACCGCTCAGCCACGCCATTCTGCTGAGGGTTGTAAGGCACTGTGAGCTGATGCTGGATCCCCTTCCGCTTCAGCTCCTTCTCAAAATCAGCGCCGATGAACTCTCCTCCGTTGTCAGTGCGGATCACCTTCACCTTGTGTCCGCTTTCCCTTTGTGCTCTCGGCATCCACTCCTTAAGAACAGCCGCTGCCACCTCCCCCTTAGTCTTGAGAGGGTACACCCACACCGCACGCGTGTGGTCGTCCACAATCGTCAAGAAGTAGCGGCTGCCCGAGAGAGAAAGGGCCCTCGTGGGGCCCACCACATCCATGTGCACTAGTGAAAGTGGTGCCTTGGCTGGTCCTGTGCTGCTTCTGAAGGGAAACTTCGTGAATTTGGTCTCAAGGCAGGTAGGGCAGCTCCCAATCTCCTTTGCTCCCCCCTTCACCTCCAGCCCCTTCAAGCACCCATCCTTTACCAACTTCTGTAGCATAGGAATGTTCACATGGCACAGCCTCTCATGCCACGTCTCCCAATCAGCCTCACCACTCCCAGATGAAGCCTTTGCCCATGCAGCTGTCGCATCCACACCAGCAAGCACCTTACCATGTGGCTGTTGTGGCTGCTGCACCTTCTTGACTGCATCCAGGGCCCCAGCAGTTGGTGCAGTCTCCTCTCCTCCCGCAGTTGCTTTAGCCGCTGCCGCTGCCTTTGCCGTTGCTGGTGGTTTCCCCTTCCAAGGGATGATGGGCAGCTGCCACAAGTCCTTGATGCAGCTGCTCTTCTCCTCCAATTTCCACAGCAGCAACTTCCCAAGCTTTGCACGGCAGCTGGTTGGGCCGAAGGTAACTTCAGCCTTGCTCTTCTGCAGCCGGCGCACAGAAAGAAGGTTAGCGGACAAACCTTCAACCAACAGCACATTCCCAAGCCCCACAAGCTCTCCATTGGCTCCCATCACCTTGGCATTCCCAACACCAATCACAGGGAGCAAAGCACCTGAAGCGGCAGCCACAAACTTGATCTTCCCAGGAGGTTTTACCTCATCAAGCAAATCTGCCCGTGGGGTCATATGACTCGTGCAACCTGAATCGATCACCCAGTGAGTGAGGGGGTGCATCACAACCTTCCCAACTGAACCCACATCACCCCCACTCCCTTGCACATCCTCAACCATGAGGAACATCCCAGGGTCGGCTTTACCTTGTGCACCATCACCTTGTGCACCTGAACCTTGCACAGCGCCACCGCGTGCACGTTCACCACTTGGCGGCTTCATGCCTGGAGGGGCCCATCCCTCAGGCCGGCTGAAACACTTGAACCACGGGTGTCCAGCCTTCTTGCAGTACCAGCACGCACCCTCCATTCGGGTGCTCCCCCTGCCACCAGAGCTCCCATGCCCCTCATTGTAGTCACCTCGGCCTCTCCCTCTGCCAAAGCCTCTCCCACGGCCTCGGCCTCTCCCTCCCCCTCTTCCTCTGCTGCCTCCTGCAGCTCCATATCCCTCAGCAGTTTTGTTGGCAGCACCACCTCCCGTGTGGCGTCTGCGGAAGTCCTCCTGCAGAATCTGCTGCCGTAGCCACTCAGGCGTCCATTTGTCCTGCTGAACGTTGAGGGTGGGGATGAGGTTGTCCCACGAGTTGTCGAGCACCGAGATGATCTTGGTGCACTGTTGCATCTGCGACACTTCGCTGCCCGCCGCTGCCATCCTCGCATAGGTGTCCTTGATCTTGTCAAGGACCGGTTTCACATCATCTCCCGGTTTCATGGAGAGGGCAGCCAACTCCTTCTCCAACACAATCACCATCGGCAGCGTGTTGGGCTGAATCGCGTCGCGTAGTAGCTTCCATGCCTTCGGTCCGGAATCATCCAACTCCACCAAATCCTTGATGTGCTGGAACATGTCGTTGTTGACCGATTGGAGGATGAGGTCGTACAGCACCGCGCTCTTCTCAATCCACCTATCGCGGGCATCTCCTTCCCCCGGCATCTTCTCCTCTCCCATTGCAATTTTCAGCAGCTTGTAGCGCTTGAAGGCGCTCCGCATCCGCCCGCTCCATTCCTCATAGTTGGAGCCATCCAAAGCTTCGATCTTGGATGGTGGCGGTTCACTCCTCTTCTCAGCTGCATCTCCACTCCCTTGATTCATCTCCTCTGCTCCCAATCAGAGGTTTCAGCTCCCCCCTTTGCTGGTCACAATGTAGATCCACACAATCTTCACAAGTGTCGGCGCCAACGAAATTTTGGCAGAGTTTCCCCTTAGCGGAAGTCACATCCAACCTCCAGAACTCCACTTAGGCACGCCCACAGGCCATGGTGGGTCTAGGAGGGTCTTCACACTTCAGTAGACTCCTCATAGGGTCCTTAATCAGCTCTGATACCACTTGTTAGAGACTAAGGACGGAGTCTATGAAGATTAGGTGCCTAAATTTCTCAAAATCGTTGGTCCTTATTTCTGGACAGAATAGTTGCGCTCACAAGAAACGCCGTCGACGAAAAGTGCACAGTCAAAACTCCACTAAACTCATATATGTTGTAGCCCTACTTCGTGGCTACAATTCTCAAGTTGAAACGTATCAAGAGGTGAAGTAAATCTCGACTTATCAATTTCGGCGCACAGGGGGGTATGCTGCCATAAGAACTTAACTCAATCACAAAGTTCACACAAGTTCACACAAGAGAATTGGAGTAGCACTAAACCAGGTGGAAGGGATGAGGAGGACGAGAGGGAAGGTCCCAAGAGAGTCCCCAACCAAGGAAACCCCATGCCATACAATTCCCTTCCCCATAGGCAACCCAACTTTGACCTTTGTCACTATCCCAACCTCCACAATCCACCTCAACCCAACTTGGCCACACTTGCCAACCTGGTTTGGTTTCTCCCAACCATTTGGCAGCAACTACAGTAGAAAAGACGAATTTCCCAACCCCCAAAAGTCTGTACCCCATATTGAGTCAACCCCACAACTTCCCATAGTCACCACAACCAAATATCAAAAGCATACGAACTCCAACGTTCGTAACTTTCTAGTTCGTGCTCCGATTGAAGCGATACTTGGTTCCTCGGAAAGCTCTTGAGCAGAGGAGTCACTTCAGATATCTGCTCAAGCCAAATAACATTCACACACACACTCAGAAAAACCAAACCGCACAAAACACAAATTCTTGCACACACTCACAACACGCATGCAACGCACGAACATATGATGGGAGGCAGATAGACGTGAATGCGAATGGTAGCATCACTCAACAGGTAAAGCAGTCCGTCTTGGTAAGGCAGTCCGTCTTGATAAGGCAGTCCCTCTTGGTAAGGCAGTCCGTCTTGGTAAGGCAGTCCGTCTTGCTAAGGCAGTCCGTCTTGGTAAGGCAGTCCGACATGGAAAGGCAGTCCGTCTTGGTAAGGCTGTCCGTCTTGGTAAGGCAGTCCGTCTTGGTAAGGCAGTCCGTCTTGGTAAGGCAGTCCGTCTTGGTAAGGCAGTCCGTCTTGATAAGGCAGTCCGTCTTGAGAAGGCAGTTCGTCTTGGTAAGGCAGTCCGTCTTGGTAGGGAAGTCCGTCTTGGTAAGGCAGTCCGTCTTGGTAAGGCAGTCCGTCTTGATAAGGCAGTCCCTCTTGGTAAGGCAGTCCGTCTTGGTAAGGCAGTCCGTCTTGCTAAGGCAGTCAGTCTTGGTAAGGCAGTCCATCTTGGTAAGGCAGTCCGTCTTGGTAAGGCAGTCCGTCTTGGTAGGGAAGTCCGTCTTGGTAAGGCAGTCCGTCTTGGTAAGGCAGTCCGTCTTGGTAAGGAAGTCCGTCTTGGTAAGGCATTCCGTCTTGGTAAGGCAGTCCGTCTTGGTAAGGCAGTCCGTCTTGGAAAGGCAGTCCGTCTTGGTAAGGCAGTCCGTCTTGGAAAGGCAGTCCGTCATGGAAAGGCAGTCCGTCTTGGAAAGGCAGTCCGTCTTGGAAAAGCAGTCCGTCTTGGAAAAGCAGTCCGTCTTGGAAAAGAAGTCCGTCTTGGAAAAGCAGTCCGTCTAGGAAAACCAGTCCGTCTTGGAAAAGCAGTCGGTCTCGGAGGCAGTCCGTCTTGGTAAGACAGTCCGTCTTGGTAAGGCAGTCCGTCTTGGTAAGGAAGTCCGTCTTGGTAAGGCATTCCGTCTTGGTAAGGCAGTCCGTCTTGGTAAGGCAGTCCGTCTTGGAAAGGCAGTCCGTCTTGGTAAGGCAGTCCGTCTTGGAAAGGCAGTCCGTCATGGAAAGGCAGTCCGTCTTGGAAAGGCAGTCCGTCTTGGAAAAGCAGTCCGTCTTGGAAAAGCAGTCCGTCTTGGAAAAGAAGTCCGTCTTGGAAAAGCAGTCCGTCTAGGAAAACCAGTCCGTCTTGGAAAAGCAGTCCGTCTCGGAGGCAGTCCGTCTTGGTAAGGCAGTCCGTCTTGGAAAGGCAGTCCGTCTTGGAAAGGCAGTCCGTCTTGGTAAGGCAGTCCGTCTTGGTAAGGCAGTCCGTCTTGGAGGCAGTCCGTCTTGGTAATGCAGTCCGTCTTGGTAAGGCAGTCCGTCTTGGTAAGGCAGTCCGTCTTGGTAAGGCAGTCCGTCTTGATAAGGCAGTCCCTCTTGGTAAGGCAGTCCGTCTTGGTAAGGCAGTCCGTCTTGCTAAGGCAGTCCGTCTTGGTAAGGCAGTCCGTCTTGGTAAGGCAGTCCGTCTTGGTAAGGCAGTCCGTCTTGGTAAGGCAGTCCGTCTTGGTAAGGCAGTCCGTCTTGGTAAGGCAGTCCGTCTTGATCAGGCAGTCCGTCTTGGGAAGGCAGTTCGTCTTGGTAAGGCAGTCCGTCTTGGTAGGGAAGTCCGTCTTGGTAAGGCAGTCCGTCTTGGTAAGGCAGTCCGTCTTGATAAGGCAGTCCCTCTTGGTAAGGCAGTCCGTCTTGGTAAGGCAGTCCGTCTTGCTAAGGCAGTCAGTCTTGGTAAGGCAGTCCATCTTGGTAAGGCAGTCCGTCTTGGTAAGGCAGTCCGTCTTGGTAGGGAAGTCCGTCTTGGTAAGGCAGTCCGTCTTGGTAAGGCAGTCCGTCTTGGTAAGGAAGTCCGTCTTGGTAAGGCATTCCGTCTTGGTAAGGTAGTCCGTCTTGGTAAGGCAGTCCGTCTTGGAAAGGCAGTCTGTCTTGGTAAGGCAGTCCGTCTTGGAAAGGCAGTCCGTCTTGGTAAGGCAGTCCGTCTTGGTAAGGCAGTCCGTCTTGGTAAGGCAGTCCGTCTTGGTAAGCAGTCCGTCTTGGTAAGGCAGTCCGTCTTGGTAAGGCAGTCCGTCTTAGTAAGGCAGTCCGTCTTGGTAAGGCAGTCCGTCTTGGTAAGGCAGTCCGTCTTGATAAGGCAGTCCGTCTTGGGAAAGCAGTTCGTCTTGGTAAGGCAGTCCGTCTTGGTAGGGAAGTCCGTCTTGGTAAGGCAGTCCGTCTTGGTAAGGCAGTCCGTCTTGGTAAGGCAGTCCGTCTTGGTAAGGCAGTCCCTCTTGGTAAGGCAGTCCGTCTTGGTAAGGCAGTCCGTCTTGGAAAGGCAGTCCGTCTTGGTAAGGCAGTCCGTCTTGGTCAGGCAGTCCGTCTTGGTAAGGCAGTCCGTCTTGGTAAGGCAGTCCGTCTTGGTAAGGCAGTCCGTCTTAGTAAGGCAGTCCGTCTTGGTAAGGCAGTCCGTCTTGGTAAGGCAGTCCGTCTTGGTAAGGCAGTCCGTCTTGGTAAGGCAGTCCGTCTTGGAGGCAGTCCGTCTTGGGAAGGCAGTTCGTCTTGGTAAGGCAGTCCGTCTTGGTAGGGAAGTCCGTCTTGGTAAGGCAGTCCGTCTTGGTAAGGCAGTCCGTCTTGATAAGGCAGTCCCTCTTGGTAAGGCAGTCCGTCTTGGTAAGTTAGTCCTTCTTGCTAAGGCAGTCAGTCTTGGTAAGGCAGTCCATCTTGGTAAGGCAGTCCGTCTTGGTAAGGCAGTCCGTCTTGGTAGGGAAGTCCGTTTTTGGTTAGGCAGTCCGTCTTGGTAAGGCAGTCCGTCTTGGTAAGGAAGTCCGTCTTGGTAAGGCATTCCGTCTTGGTAAGGCAGTCCGTCTTGGTAAGGCAGTCCGTCTTGGAAAGGCAGTCCGTCTTGGTAAGGCAGTCCGTCTTGGTAAGGCAGTCCGTCTTGGTAAGGCAGTCCGTCTTGGTAAGGCAGTCCGTCTTGAGAAGGCAGTTCGTCTTGGTAAGGCAGTCCGTCTTGGAAAGGCAGTCCGTCTTGGAAAGGCAGTCCCTCTTGGTAAGGCAGTCCGTCTTGGTAAGGCAGTCCGTCTTGGTAAGGTAGTCCGTCTTGCTAAGGCAGTCAGTCTTGGTAAGGCAGTCCATCTTGGTAAGGCAGTCCGTCTTGGTAAGGCAGTCCGTCTTGGTAGGGAAGTCCGTTTTTGGTTAGGCAGTCCGTCTTGGTAAGGCAGTCCGTCTTGGTAAGGAAGTCCGTCTTGGTAAGGCATTCCGTCTTGGTAAGGCAGTCCGTCTTGGTAAGGCAGTCCGTCTTGGAAAGGCAGTCCGTCTTGGTAAGGCAGTCCGTCTTGGTAAGGCAGTCCGTCTTGGTAAGGCAGTCTGTCTTGGTAAGGCAGTCCGTCTTGAGAAGGCAGTTCGTCTTGGTAAGGCAGTCCGTCTTGGAAAGGCAGTCCGTCTTGGAAAGGCAGTCCCTCTTGGTAAGGCAGTCCGTCTTAGTAAGGCAGTCCGTCTTGCTAAGGCAGTCAGTCTTAGAAAGGCAGTCCGACTTGGAAAGGCAGTCCGTCTTGGTAAGGCAGTCCGTCTTGGAAAGGCAGTCCGTCATGGAAAGGCAGTCCGTCTTGGAAAGGCAGTCCGTCTTGGAAAAGCAGTCCGTCTTGGAAAAGCAGTCCGTCTTGGAAAAGCAGTCCATCTTGGAAAAGCAGTCCGTCTAGGAACACCAGTCCGTCTTGGAAAAGCAGTCCGTCTCGGAGGCAGTCCGTCTTGGTAAGGCAGTCCGTCTTGGTAAGGCAGTCCGTCTTGGAGGCAGTCCGTCTTGGTAAGGCAGTCCGTCTTGGAAAGGCAGTCCGTCTTGGAAAGGCAGTCCGTCTTGGTAAGGCAGTCCGTCTTGGTAAGGCAGTCCGTCTTGGAGGCAGTCCGTCTTGGTAAGGCAGTCCGTCTTGGAAAGGCAGTCCGTCTTGGAAAGGCAGTCAGTCTTGGTAAGGCAGTCCGTCTTGGTAAGGCAGTCCGTCTTGGTAAGGCAGTCAGTCTTGGTAAGGCAGTCCATCTTGGTAAGGCAGTCCGTCTTGGTAAGGCAGTCCGTCTTGGTAGGGAAGTCCGTTTTTGGTTAGGCAGTCCGTCTTGGTAAGGCAGTCCGTCTTGGTAAGGAAGTCCGTCTTGGTAAGGCATTCCGTCTTGGTAAGGCAGTCCGTCTTGGTAAGGCAGTCCGTCTTGGTAAGGCAGTCCGTCTTGGTAAGGCAGTCCGTCTTGGTAAGGCAGTCCGTCTTGGTAAGGCAGTCCGTCTTGGTAAGGCAGTCCGTCTTGAGAAGGCAGTTCGTCTTGGTAAGGCAGTCCGTCTTGGAAAGGCAGTTCGTCTTGGAAAGGCAGTCCCTCTTGGTAAGGCAGTCCGTCTTAGTAAGGCAGTCCGTCTTGCTAAGGCAGTCAGTCTTGGAAAGGCAGTCCGACTTGGAAAGGCAGTCCGTCTTGGTAAGGCAGTCCGTCTTGGAAAGGCAGTCCGTCATGGAAAGGCAGTCCGTCTTGGAAAGGCAGTCCGTCTTGGAAAAGCAGTCCGTCTTGGAAAAGCAGTCCGTCTTGGAAAAGCAGTCCATCTTGGAAAAGCAGTCCGTCTAGGAAAACCAGTCCGTCTTGGAAAAGCAGTCCGTCTCGGAGGCAGTCCGTCTTGGAAAGGCAGTCCGTCTTGGTAAGGCAGTCCGTCTTGGAGGCAGTCCGTCTTGGTAAGGCAGTCCGTCTTGGAAAGGCAGTCCGTCTTGGAAAGGCAGTCCGTCTTGGTAAGGCAGTCCGTCTTGGTAAGGCAGTCCGTCTTGGTAAGGCAGTCCGTCTTGGTAAAGCAGTCTGTCTTGGTAAGGCAGTCCGTCTTGATAAGGCAGTCCCTCTTGGTAAGGCAGTCCGTCTTGGTAAGGCAGTCCGTCTTGGTAAGGCAGTCCGTCTTGGTAAAGCAGTCCGTCTTGGTAAGGCAGTCCGTCTTGATAAGGCAGTCCCTCTTGGTAAGGCAGTCCGTTTTGGTAAGGCAGTCCGTCTTGGAAAGGCAGTCCGTCTTGGAAAGGCAGTCCGTCTTGGTAAGGCAGTCCGTCTTGGTAAGGCAGTCCGTCTTGGTAAGGCAGTCCGTCTTGGTAAAGCAGTCCGTCTTGGTAAGGCAGTCCGTCTTGATAAGGCAGTCCCTCTTGGTAAGGCAGTCCGTCTTGGTAAGGCAGTCCGTCTTGCTAAGGCAGTCCGTCTTGGTAAGGCAGTCCGACTTGGAAAGGCAGTCCGTCTTGGTAAGGCAGTCCGTCTTGGTAAGGCAGTCCGTCTTGGTAAGGCAGTCCGTCTTGGTAAGGCAGTCCGTCTTGGTAAGGCAGTCCGTCTTGATAAGGCAGTCCGTCTTGAGAAGGCAGTTTGTCTTGGTAAGGCAGTCCGTCTTGGTAGGGAAGTCCGTCTTGGTAAGGCAGTCCGTCTTGGTAAGGCAGTCCGTCTTGATAAGGCAGTCCCTCTTGGTAAGGCAGTCCGTCTTGGTAAGGCAGTCCGTCTTGCTAAGGCAGTCAGTCTTGGTAAGGCAGACCATCTTGGTAAGGCAGTCCGTCTTGGTAAGGCAGTCCGTCTTGGTAGGGAAGTCCGTCTTGGTAAGGCAGTCCGTCTTGGTAAGGCAGTCCGTCTTGGTAAGGAAGTCCGTCTTGGTAAGGCATTCCGTCTTGGTAAGGCAGTCCGTCTTGGTAAGGCAGTCCGTCTTGGAAAGGCAGTCCGTCTTGGTAAGGCAGTCCGTCTTGGAAAGGAAGTCCGTCATGGAAAGGCAGTCCGTCTTGGAAAGGCAGTCCGTCTTGGAAAAGCAGTCCGTCTTGGAAAAGCAGTCCGTCTTGGAAAAGCAGTCCGTCTTGGAAAAGCAGTCCGTCTAGGAAAACCAGTCCGTCTAGGAAAAGCAGTCCGTCTCGGAGGCAGTCCGTCTTGGTAAGACAGTCCGTCTTGGTAAGGCAGTCCGTCTTGGAGGCAGTCCGTCTTGGTAAGGCAGTCCGTCTTGGAAAGGCAGTCCGTCTTGGAAAGGCAGTCCGTCTTGGTAAGGCAGTCCGTCTTGGTAAGGCAGTCCGTCTTGGAGGCAGTCCGTCTTGGTAATGCAGTCCGTCTTGGTAAGGCAGTCCGTCTTGGTAAGGCAGTCCGTCTTGGTAAGGCAGTCCGTCTTGATAAGGCAGTCCCTCTTGGTAAGGCAGTCCGTCTTGGTAAGGCAGTCCGTCTTGCTAAGGCAGTCCGTCTTGGTAAGGCAGTCCGACTTGGAAAGGCAATCCGTCTTGGTAAGGCAGTCCGTCTTGGTAAGGCAGTCCGTCTTGGTAAGGCAGTCCGTCTTGGTAAGGCAGTCCGTCTTGATCAGGCAGTCCGTCTTGGGAAGGCAGTGCGTCTTGGTAAGGCAGTCCGTCTTGGTAAGGCAGTCCGTAATTCTAAGGCAGTCCGTCTTGGGAAGGCAGTCCGTCTTGATAAGGCAGTCCCTCTTGGTAAGGCAGTCCGTCTTGGTAAGGCAGTCCGTCTTGCTAAGGCAGTCCGTCTTGGTAAGGCAGTCCGACTTGGAAAGGCCGTCCGTCTTGGTAAGGCAGTCCGTCTTGGTAAGGCAGTCCGTCTTGGTAAGGCAGTCCGTCTTGGTAAGGCAGTCCGTCTTGGTAAGGCAGTCCGTCTTGATCAGGCAGTCCGTCTTGGGAAGGCAGTGCGTCTTGGTAAGGCAGTCCGTCTTGGTAAGGCAGTCCGTCTTGCTAAGGCAGTCCGTCTTGGGAAGGCAGTCCGTCTTGATAAGGCAGTCCCTCTTGGTAAGGCAGTCCGTCTTGGTAAGGCAGTCCGTCTTGCTAAGGCAGTCCGTCTTGGTAAGGCAGTCCGACTTGGAAAGGCAGTCCGTCTTGGTAAGGCAGTCCGTCTTGGTAAGGCAGTCCGTCTTGGTAAGGCAGTCCGTCTTGGTAAGGCAGTCCGTCTTGGTAAGGCAGTCCGTCTTGGTAAGGCAGTCCGTCTTGAGAAGGCAGTTCGTCTTGGTAAGGCAGTCCGTCTTGGAAAGGCAGTTCGTCTTGGAAAGGCAGTCCCTCTTGGTAAGGCAGTCCGTCTTAGTAAGGCAGTCCGTCTTGCTAAGGCAGTCAGTCTTGGAAAGGCAGTCCGACTTGGTAAGGCAGTCCGTCTTGGTAAGGCAGTCCGTCTTGGAAAGGCAGTCCGTCATGGAAAGGCAGTCCGTCTTGGAAAGGCAGTCCGTCTTGGAAAAGCAGTCCGTCTTGGAAAAGCAGTCCGTCTTGGAAAAGCAGTCCATCTTGGAAAAGCAGTCCGTCTAGGAAAACCAGTCCGTCTTGGAAAAGCAGTCCGTCTCGGAGGCAGTCCGTCTTGGAAAGGCAGTCCGTCTTGGTAAGGCAGTCCGTCTTGGAGGCAGTCCGTCTTGGTAAGGCAGTCCGTCTTGGAAAGGCAGTCCGTCTTGGAAAGGCAGTCCGTCTTGGTAAGGCAGTCCGTCTTGGTAAGGCAGTCCGTCTTGGTAAGGCAGTCCGTCTTGGTAAAGCAGTCTGTCTTGGTAAGGCAGTCCGTCTTGATAAGGCAGTCCCTCTTGGTAAGGCAGTCCGTCTTGGTAAGGCAGTCCGTCTTGGTAAGGCAGTCCGTCTTGGTAAAGCAGTCCGTCTTGGTAAGGCAGTCCGTCTTGATAAGGCAGTCCCTCTTGGTAAGGCAGTCCGTCTTGGTAAGGCAGTCCGTCTAGGAAAGGCAGTCCGTCTTGGAAAGGCAGTCCGTCTTGGTAAGGCAGTCCGTCTTGGTAAGGCAGTCCGTCTTGGTAAGGCAGTCCGTCTTGGTAAAGCAGTCCGTCTTGGTAAGGCAGTCCGTCTTGATAAGGCAGTCCCTCTTGGTAAGGCAGTCCGTCTTGGTAAGGCAGTCCGTCTTGCTAAGGCAGTCCGTCTTGGTAAGGCAGTCCGACTTGGAAAGGCAGTCCGTCTTGGTAAGGCAGTCCGTCTTGGTAAGGCAGTCCGTCTTGGTAAGGCAGTCCGTCTTGGTAAGGCAGTCCGTCTTGGTAAGGCAGTCCGTCTTGATAAGGCAGTCCGTCTTGAGAAGGCAGTTTGTCTTGGTAAGGCAGTCCGTCTTGGTAGGGAAGTCCGTCTTGGTAAGGCAGTCCGTCTTGGTAAGGCAGTCCGTCTTGATAAGGCAGTCCCTCTTGGTAAGGCAGTCCGTCTTGGTAAGGCAGTCCGTCTTGCTAAGGCAGTCAGTCTTGGTAAGGCAGTCCATCTTGGTAAGGCAGTCCGTCTTGGTAAGGCAGTCCGTCTTGGTAGGGAAGTCCGTCTTGGTAAGGCAGTCCGTCTTGGTAAGGCAGTCCGTCTTGGTAAGGAAGTCCGTCTTGGTAAGGCATTCCGTCTTGGTAAGGCAGTCCGTCTTGGTAAGGCAGTCCGTCTTGGAAAGGCAGTCCGTCTTGGTAAGGCAGTCCGTCTTGGAAAGGAAGTCCGTCATGGAAAGGCAGTCCGTCTTGGAAAGGCAGTCCGTCTTGGAAAAGCAGTCCGTCTTGGAAAAGCAGTCCGTCTTGGAAAAGCAGTCCGTCTTGGAAAAGCAGTCCGTCTAGGAAAACCAGTCCGTCTAGGAAAAGCAGTCCGTCTCGGAGGCAGTCCGTCTTGGTAAGACAGTCCGTCTTGGTAAGGCAGTCCGTCTTGGAGGCAGTCCGTCTTGGTAAGGCAGTCCGTCTTGGAAAGGCAGTCCGTCTTGGAAAGGCAGTCCGTCTTGGTAAGGCAGTCCGTCTTGGTAAGGCAGTCCGTCTTGGAGGCAGTCCGTCTTGGTAATGCAGTCCGTCTTGGTAAGGCAGTCCGTCTTGGTAAGGCAGTCCGTCTTGGTAAGGCAGTCCGTCTTGGTAAGGCAGTCCGTCTTGGTAAGGCAGTCCGTCTTGGTAAAGCAGTCTGTCTTGGTAAGGCAGTCCGTCTTGATAAGGCAGTCCCTCTTGGTAAGGCAGTCCGTCTTGGTAAGGCAGTCCGTCTTGGTAAGGCAGTCCGTCTTGGTAAAGCAGTCCGTCTTGGTAAGGCAGTCCGTCTTGATAAGGCAGTCCCTCTTGGTAAGGCAGTCCGTCTTGGTAAGGCAGTCCGTCTTGGAAAGGCAGTCCGTCTTGGAAAGGCAGTCCGTCTTGGTAAGGCAGTCCGTCTTGGTAAGGCAGTCCGTCTTGGTAAGGCAGTCCGTCTTGGTAAAGCAGTCCGTCTTGGTAAGGCAGTCCGTCTTGATAAGGCAGTCCCTCTTGGTAAGGCAGTCCGTCTTGGTAAGGCAGTCCGTCTTGCTAAGGCAGTCCGTCTTGGTAAGGCAGTCCGACTTGGAAAGGCAGTCCGTCTTGGTAAGGCAGTCCGTCTTGGTAAGGCAGTCCGTGTTGGTAAGGCAGTCCGTCTTGGTAAGGCAGTCCGTCTTGGTAAGGCAGTCCGTCTTGATAAGGCAGTCCGTCTTGAGAAGGCAGTTTGTCTTGGTAAGGCAGTCCGTCTTGGTAGGGAAGTCCGTCTTGGTAAGGCAGTCCGTCTTGGTAAGGCAGTCCGTCTTGATAAGGCAGTCCCTCTTGGTAAGGCAGTCCGTCTTGGTAAGGCAGTCCGTCTTGCTAAGGCAGTCAGTCTTGGTAAGGCAGTCCATCTTGGTAAGGCAGTCCGTCTTGGTAAGGCAGTCCGTCTTGGTAGGGAAGTCCGTCTTGGTAAGGCAGTCCGTCTTGGTAAGGCAGTCCGTCTTGGTAAGGAAGTCCGTCTTGGTAAGGCATTCCGTCTTGGTAAGGCAGTCCGTCTTGGTAAGCAGTCCGTCTTGGAAAGGCAGTCCGTCTTGGTAAGGCAGTCCGTCTTGGAAAGGCAGTCCGTCTGGAAAGGCAGTCCGTCTTGGAAAGGCAGTCCGTCTTGGAAAAGCAGTCCGTCTTGGAAAAGCAGTCCGTCTTGGAAAGGCAGTCCGTCTTGGAAAGGCAGTCCGTCTTGGAAAGGCAGTCCGTCTTGGAAAGCAGTCCGTCTTGGAGGCAGTCCGTCTTGGTAAGACAGTCCGTCTTGGTAAGGCAGTCCGTCTTGGAGGCAGTCCGTCTTGGTAAGGCAGTCCGTCTTGGAAAGGCAGTCCGTCTTGGAAAGGCAGTCCGTCTTGGTAAGGCAGTCCGTCTTGGTAAGGCAGTCCGTCTTGGAGGCAGTCCGTCTTGGTAAGGCAGTCCGTCTTGGTAAGGCAGTCCGTCTTGGTAAGGCAGTCCGTCTTGGTAAGGCAGTCCGTCTTGGTAAGGCAGTCCCTCTTGGTAAGGCAGTCCGTCTTGGTAAGGCAGTCCGTCTTGGTAAGGCAGTCCGTCTTGGTAAGGCAGTCCGTCTTGGAAAGGCAGTCCGTCTTGGTAAGGCAGTCCGTCTTGGTAAGGCAGTCCGTCTTGGTAAGGCAGTCCGTCTTGGTAAGGCAGTCCGTCTTGGTAAGGCAGTCCGTCTTGATCAGGCAGTCCGTCTTGGGAAGGCAGTCCGTCTTGGTAAGGCAGTCCGTCTTGGTAAGGCAGTCCGTCTTGGTAAGGCAGTCCGTCTTGGGAAGGCAGTCCGTCTTGATAAGGCAGTCCCTCTTGGTAAGGCAGTCCGTCTTGGTAAGGCAGTCCGTCTTGCTAAGGCAGTCCGTCTTGGTAAGGCAGTCCGTCTTGGAAAGGCAGTCCGTCTTGGTAAGGCAGTCCGTCTGGTAAGGCAGTCCGTCTTGGTAAGGCAGTCCGTCTTGGTAAGGCAGTCCGTCTTGGTAAGGCAGTCCGTCTTGATAAGGCAGTCCGTCTTGGTAAGGCAGTCCGTCTTGGTAAGGCAGTCCGTCTTGGTAAGGCAGTCCGTCTTGGTAAGGCAGTCCGTCTTGGTAAGGCAGTCCGTCTTGATAAGGCAGTCCCTCTTGGTAAGGCAGTCCGTCTTGGTAAGGCAGTCCGTCTTGGTAAGGCAGTCCGTCTTGGTAAGGCAGTCCGTCTTGGTAAGGCAGTCCGTCTTGGTAAGGCAGTCCGTCTTGGTAAGGCAGTCCGTCTTGGTAAGGCAGTCCGTCTTGGTAAGGCAGTCCGTCTTGGTAAGGCAGTCCGTCTTGGTAGTCCGTCTTGGCAGTCCGTCTTGGTAAGGCAGTCCGTCTTGGTAAGGCAGTCCGTCTTGGTAAGGCAGTCCGTCTTGGTAAGGCAGTCCGTCTTGGTAAGGCAGTCCGTCTTGGTAAGGCAGTCCGTCTTGGTAAGGCAGTCCGTCTTGGTAAGGCAGTCCGTCTTGGTAAGGCAGTCCGTCTTGGTAAGGCAGTCCGTCTTGGTAAGGCAGTCCGTCTTGGTAAGGCAGTCCGTCTTGGTAAGGCAGTCGTCTTGGTAAGGCAGTCCGTCTTGGTAAGGCAGTCCGTCTTGGTAAGGCAGTCCGTCTTGGTAAGGCAGTCCGTCTTGGTAAGGCAGTCCGTCTTGGTAAGGCAGTCCGTCTTGGTAAGGCAGTCCGTCTTGGTAAGCAGTCCGTCTTGGTAAGGCAGTCCGTCTTGGTAAGGCAGTCCGTCTTAGTAAGGCAGTCCGTCTTGGTAAGGCAGTCCGTCTTGGTAAGGCAGTCCGTCTTGGTAAGGCAGTCCGTCTTGGTAAGGCAGTTCGTCTTGGTAAGGCAGTCCGTCTTGGTAGGCAGTCCGTCTTGGTAAGGCAGTCCGTCTTGTTAAGGCAGTCCGTCTTGGTAAGGCAGTCCGTCTTGGTAAGGCAGTCCGTCTTGGTAAGGCAGTCCGTCTTGGTAAGGCAGTCCGTCTTGGAAAGGCAGTCCGTCTTGGTAAGGCAGTCCGTCTTGGTAAGGCAGTCCGTCTTGGTAAGGCAGTCCGTCTTGGTAAGGCAGTCCGTCTTGGTAAGGCAGTCCGTCTTGGTAAGGCAGTCCGTCTTGGTAAGGCAGTCCGTCTTGGTAAGGTCCGTCTTGGTAAGGCAGTCCGTCTTGGTAAGGCAGTCCGTCTTGGTAAGGCAGTCCGTCTTGGAGGCAGTCCGTCTTGGGAAGGCAGTTCGTCTTGGTAAGGCAGTCCGTCTTGGTAAGGCAGTCCGTCTTGGTAAGGCAGTCCGTCTTGGTAAGGCAGTCCGTCTTGATAAGGCAGTCCGTCTTGGGAAGGCAGTCCGTCTTGGTAAGGCAGTCCGTCTTGGTAAGGCAGTCCGTCTTGGTAAGGCAGTCCGTCTTGGTAAGGCAGTCCGTCTTGGGAAGGCAGTCCGTCTTGGTAAGGCAGTCCGTCTTGGTAAGGCAGTCCGTCTTGGTAAGGCAGTCCGTCTTGGTAAGGCAGTCCGTCTTGGTAAGGCAGTCCGTCTTGGTAAGGCAGTCCGTCTTGGTAAGGCAGTCCGTCTTGGTAAGGCAGTCCGTCTTGGTAAGGCAGTCCGTCTTGGTAAGGCAGTCCGTCTTGGTAAGGCAGTCCGTCTTGATCAGGCAGTCCGTCTTGGGAAGGCAGTCCGTCTTGGTAAGGCAGTCCGTCTTGGTAAGGCAGTCCGTCTTGGTAAGGCAGTCCGTCTTGGAAGGCAGTCCGTCTTGATAAGGCAGTCCGTCTTGGTAAGGCAGTCCGTCTTGGTAAGGCAGTCCGTCTTGCTAAGGCAGTCCGTCTTGGTAAGGCAGTCCGTCTTGGTAAGGCAGTCCGTCTTGGTAAGGCAGTCCGTCTTGGTAAGGCAGTCCGTCTTGGTAAGGCAGTCCGTCTTGGTAAGGCAGTCCGTCTTGGTAGGGAAGTCCGTCTTGGTAAGGCAGTCCGTCTTGATAAGGCAGTCCCTCTTGGTAAGGCAGTCCGTCTTGGTAAGGCAGTCCGTCTTGGTAAGGCAGTCAGTCTTGGTAAGGCAGTCCGTCTTGGTAAGGCAGTCCGTCTTGGTAAGGCAGTCCGTCTTGGTAGGCAGTCCGTCTTGGTAAGGCAGTCCGTCTTGGTAGGCAGTCCGGTAAGGTCCGTCTATGGTAAGGCATTCCGTCTGGTTAAGGTAGTCCGTCTTGGTAAGGCAGTCCTGTCTGGTAAGGCAGTCCGTCTTGATCAGGCAGTCTGTCTTGGTAAGGCAGTCCGTCTTCGGAAGGCAGTCCGTCTTGGTAAGGCAGTCCGTCTTGGCTAAGGCAGTCCGCTCTTGGTAAGGCAGTCCGTCTTGGTAAGCAGTCCGTCTTGGTAAGGCAGTCGTCTTGGTAAGGCAGTCCGTCTTAGTAAGGCAGTCCGTCTTGGTAAGGCAGTCCGTCTTGGTAAGGCAGTCCGTCTTGATAAGGCAGTCCGTCTTGGGAAGGCAGTTCGTCTTGGTAAGGCAGTCCGTCTTGGTAGGGAAGTCCGTCTTGGTAAGGCAGTTCTTCTTGTTAAGGCAGTCCGTCTTGGTAAGGCAGTCCGTCTTGGTAAGGCAGTCCATCTTGGTAAGGCAGTCCGTCTTGGTAAGGCAGTCCGTCTTGGAAAGGCAGTCCGTCTTGGTAAGGCAGTCCGTCTTGGTAAGGCAGTCCGTCTTGGTAAGGCAGTCCGTCTTGGTAAGGCAGTCCGTCTTGGTAAGGCAGTCCGTCTTAGTAAGGCAGTCCGTCTTGGTAAGGCAGTCCGTCTTGGTAAGGCAGTCCGTCTTGGTAAGGCAGTCCGTCTTGGTAAGGCAGTCCGTCTTGGTAAGGCAGTCCGTCTTGGTAAGGCAGTCCGTCTTGGTAAGGCAGTCCGTCTTGGTAAGGCAGTCCGTCTTGGTAAGGCAGTCCGTCTTGGTAAGGCAGTCCGTCTTGGTAAGGCAGTCCGTCTTGGTAAGGCAGTCCGTCTTGGAGGCAGTCCGTCTTGGTAAGGCAGTCCGTCTTGGTAAGGGAGTCCGTCTTGGTAGGGCAGTCTGTCTTGGTAAGGCAGTCCGTCTTGGTAAGGCAGTCCGTCTTGGTAAGGCAGTCCGTCTTGGTAAGGCAGTCCGTCTTGGTAAGGTAGTCCGTCTTGGTAAGGCAGTCAGTCTTGGTAAGGCAGTCCGTCTTGGTAAGGCAGTCCGTCTTGGTAAGGCAGTCCGTCTTGGTAAGGCAGTCCGTCTTGCTAAGGCAGTCCGTCTTGGTAAGGCAGTCCGTCTTGGAAAGGCAGTCCGTCTTGGTAAGGCAGTCCGTCTTGGTAAGGCAGTCCGTCTTGGTAAGGCAGTCCGTCTTGGTAAGGCAGTCCGTCTTGGTAAGGCAGTCCGTCTTGATCAGGCAGTCCGTCTTGGGAAGGCAGTCCGTCTTCGTAAGGCAGTCCGTCTTGGTAAGGCAGTCCGTCTTGCTAAGGCAGTCCGTCTTGGGAAGGCAGTCCGTCTTGATAAGGCAGTCCGTCTTGGTAAGGCAGTCCGTCTTGGTAAGGCAGTCCGTCTTGCTAAGGCAGTCCGTCTTGGTAAGGCAGTCCGTCTTGGAAAGGCAGTCCGTCTTGGTAAGGCAGTCCGTCTTGGTAAGGCAGTCCGTCTTGGTAAGGCAGTCCGTCTTGGTAAGGCAGTCCGTCTTGGTAAGGCAGTCCGTCTTGATCAGGCAGTCCGTCTTGGGAAGGCAGTGCGTCTTGGTAAGGCAGTCCGTCTTGGTAAGGCAGTCCGTCTTGGTAAGGCAGTCCGTCTTGGGAAGGCAGTCCGTCTTGATAAGGCAGTCCCTCTTGGTAAGGCAGTCCGTCTTGGTAAGGCAGTCCGTCTTGGTAAGGCAGTCCGTCTTGGTAAGGCAGTCCGTCTTGGTAAGGCAGTCCGTCTTGGTAGGCAGTCCGTCTTGGTAAGGCAGTCCGTCTTGGTAAGGCAGTCCGTCTTGGTAAGGCAGTCCGTCTTGGTAAGGCAGTCCGTCTTGGTAAGGCAGTCCGTCTTGATAAGGCAGTCCCTCTTGGTAAGGCAGTCCGTCTTGGTAAGGCAGTTTGTCTTGCTAAGGCAGTCCGTCTTGGTAAGGCAGTCCATCTTGGTAAGGCAGTCCGTCTTGGTAAGGCAGTCCGTCTTGGTAGGGAAGTCCGTCTTGGTAAGGCAGTCCGTCTTGGTAAGGCAGTCCGTCTTGGTAAGGAAGTCCGTCATGGTAAGGCAGTCCGTCTTGGTAAGGTAGTCCGTCTTGGTAAGGCAGTCCGTCTTGGAAAGGCAGTCTGTCTTGGTAAGGCAGTCCGTCTTGGAAAGGCAGTCCGTCTTGGTAAGGCAGTCCGTCTTGGTAAGGCAGTCCGTCTTGGTAAGGCAGTCCGTCTTGGTAAGCAGTCCGTCTTGGTAAGGCAGTCCGTCTTGGTAAGGCAGTCCGTCTTGGTAAGGCAGTCCGTCTTGGTAAGGCAGTCCGTCTTGGTAAGGCAGTCCGTCTTGATAAGGCAGTCCGTCTTGGGAAGGCAGTTCGTCTTGGTAAGGCAGTCCGTCTTGGTAAGGAAGTCCGTCTTGGTAAGGTAGTTCGTCTTGTTAAGGCAGTCCGTCTTGGTAAGGCAGTCCGTCTTGGTAAGGCAGTCCGTCTTGGTAAGGCAGTCCGTCTTGGTAAGGCAGTCCGTCTTGGAAAGGCAGTCCGTCTTGGTAAGGCAGTCCGTCTTGGTAAGGCAGTCCGTCTTGTAAGGCAGTCCGTCTTGGTAAGGCAGTCCGTCTTGGTAAGGCAGTCCGTCTTGGTAAGGCAGTCCGTCTTGGTAAGGCAGTCCGTCTTGGTAAGGCAGTCCGTCTTGGTAAGGCAGTCCGTCTTGGTAAGGCAGTCCGTCTTGGAGGCAGTCCGTCTTGGGAAGGCAGTTCGTCTTGGTAAGGCAGTCCGTCTTGGTAGGGCAGTCTGTCTTGGTAAGGCAGTCCGTCTTGGTAAGGCAGTCCGTCTTGATCAGGCAGTCCGTCTTGGTAAGGCAGTCCGTCTTGGTAAGGCAGTCCGTCTTGGTAAGGCAGTCCGTCTTGGTAAGGCAGTCCGTCTTGGAAGGCTAGTCCGTCTTGGTAAGGCAGTCCGTCTTGGTAAGGCAGTCCGTCTTGGTAAGGCAGTCCGTCTTGGTAAGGCAGTCCGTCTTGGTAAGGCAGTCCGTCTTGGAAAGGCAGTCCGTCTTGGTAAGGCAGTCCGTCTTGGTAAGGCAGTCCGTCTTGGTAAGGCAGTCCGTCTTGGTAAGGCAGTCCGTCTTGGTAAGGCAGTCCGTCTTGATAGGCAGTCCGTCTTGGAAGGCAGTCCGTCTTGGTAAGGCAGTCCGTCTTGGTAAGGCAGTCCGTCTTGCTAAGGCAGTCCGTCTTGGGAAGGCAGTCCGTCTTGGTAAGGCAGTCCGTCTTGGTAAGGCAGTCCGTCTTGGTAAGGCAGTCCGTCTTGGTAAGGCAGTCCGTCTTGGTAAGGCAGTCCGTCTTGGTAAGGCAGTCCGTCTTGGTAAGGCAGTCCGTCTTGGTAAGGCAGTCCGTCTTGGTAAGGCAGTCCGTCTTGGTAAGGCAGTCCGTCTTGGTAGGGAAGTCCGTCTTGGTAAGGCAGTCCGTCTTGGTAAGGCAGTCCGTCTTGGTAAGGCAGTCCGTCTTGGTAAGGCAGTCCGTCTTGGTAAGGCAGTCCGTCTTGGTAAGGCAGTCCGTCTTGGTAAGGCAGTCCGTCTTGGTAAGGCAGTCCGTCTTGGTAAGGCAGTCCGTCTTGGTAAGGCAGTCCGTCTTGGTAAGGCAGTCCGTCTTGGTAAGGCAGTCCGTCTTGGTAAGGCAGTCCGTCTTGGTAAGGCAGTCCGTCTTGGTAAGGCAGTCCGTCTTGGTAAGGCAGTCCGTCTTGGTAAGGCAGTCCGTCTTGGTAAGGCAGTCCGTCTTGGTAAGGCAGTCCGTCTTGGTAAGGCAGTCCGTCTTGGTAAGGCAGTCCGTCTTGGTAAGGCAGTCCGTCTTGGTAAGGCAGTCCGTCTTGGTAAGGCAGTCCGTCTTGGTAAGGCAGTCCGTCTTGGTAAGGCAGTCCGTCTTGGTAAGGCAGTCCGTCTTGGTAAGGCAGTCCGTCTTGGTAAGGCAGTCCGTCTTGGTAAGGCAGTCCGTCTTGGTAAGGCAGTCCGTCTTGGTAAGGCAGTCCGTCTTGGTAAGGCAGTCCGTCTTGGTAAGGCAGTCCGTCTTGGTAAGGCAGTCCGTCTTGGTAAGGCAGTCCGTCTTGGTAAGGCAGTCCGTCTTGGAAAGGCAGTCCGTCTTGGTAAGGCAGTCCGTCTTGGTAAGGCAGTCCGTCTTGGTAAGGCAGTCCGTCTTGGTAAGGCAGTCCGTCTTGGTAAGGCAGTCCGTCTTGGTAAGGCAGTCCGTCTTGGTAAGGCAGTCCGTCTTGGTAAGGCAGTCCGTCTTGGTAAGGCAGTCCGTCTTGGTAAGGCAGTCCGTCTTGGTAAGGCAGTCCGTCTTGGTAAGGCAGTCCGTCTTGGTAAGGCAGTCCGTCTTGGTAAGGCAGTCCGTCTTGGTAAGGCAGTCCGTCTTGGTAAGGCAGTCCGTCTTGGTAAGGCAGTCCGTCTTGGTAAGGCAGTCCGTCTTGGTAAGGCAGTCCGTCTTGGTAAGGCAGTCCGTCTTGGTAAGGCAGTCCGTCTTGGTAAGGCAGTCCGTCTTGGTAAGGCAGTCCGTCTTGGTAAGGCAGTCCGTCTTGGTAAGGCAGTCCGTCTTGGAAAGGCAGTCCGTCTTGGTAAGGCAGTCCGTCTTGGTAAGGCAGTCCGTCTTGGTAAGGCAGTCCGTCTTGGTAAGGCAGTCCGTCTTGGTAAGGCAGTCCGTCTTGGTAAGGCAGTCCGTCTTGGTAAGGCAGTCCGTCTTGGTAAGGCAGTCCGTCTTGGTAAGGCAGTCCGTCTTGGTAAGGCAGTCCGTCTTGGTAAGGCAGTCCGTCTTGGTAAGGCAGTCCGTCTTGGTAAGGCAGTCCGTCTTGGAGGCAGTCCGTCTTGGTAAGGCAGTCCGTCTTGGTAAGGCAGTCCGTCTTGGTAAGGCAGTCCGTCTTGGTAAGGCAGTCCGTCTTGGTAAGGCAGTCCGTCTTGGTAAGGCAGTCCGTCTTGGTAAGGCAGTCCGTCTTGGTAAGGCAGTCCGTCTTGGAAAGGCAGTCCGTCTTGGAAAGGCAGTCCGTCTTGGAAAGGCAGTCCGTCTTGGTAAGGCAGTCCGTCTTGGTAAGGCAGTCCGTCTTGGTAAGGCAGTCCGTCTTGGAAAGGCAGTCCGTCTTGGTAAGCAGTCCGTCTTGGAAGGCAGTCCGTCTTGGTAAGGCAGTCCGTCTTGGTAAGGCAGTCCGTCTTGGTAAGGCAGTCCGTCTTGGTAAGGCAGTCCGTCTTGGTAAGGCAGTCCGTCTTGGTAAGGCAGTCCGTCTTGGTAAGGCAGTCCGTCTTGGTAAGGCAGTCCGTCTTGGTAAGGCAGTCCGTCTTGGTAGGCAGTCCGTCTTGGTAAGGCAGTCCGTCTTGGTAAGGCAGTCCGTCTTGGTAAGGCAGTCCGTCTTGGTAAGGCAGTCCGTCTTGGTAAGGCAGTCCGTCTTGGTAAGGCAGTCCGTCTTGGTAAGGCAGTCCGTCTTGGAGGCAGTCCGTCTTGGTAAGGCAGTCCGTCTTGGTAAGGCAGTCCGTCTTGGTAAGGCAGTCCGTCTTGGTAAGGCAGTCCGTCTTGGTAAGGCAGTCCGTCTTGGTAAGGCAGTCCGTCTTGGTAAGGCAGTCCGTCTTGGTAAGGCAGTCCGTCTTGGTAAGGCAGTCCGTCTTGGTAAGGCAGTCCGTCTTGGTAAGGCAGTCCGTCTTGGTAAGGCAGTCCGTCTTGGTAAGGCAGTCCGTCTTGGTAAGGCAGTCCGTCTTGGTAAGGCAGTCCGTCTTGGTAAGGCAGTCCGTCTTGGTAAGGCAGTCCGTCTTGGTAAGGCAGTCCGTCTTGGTAAGGCAGTCCGTCTTGGTAAGGCAGTCCGTCTTGGTAGGCAGTCCGTCTTGGTAAGGCAGTCCGTCTTGGTAAGGCAGTCCGTCTTGGTAAGGCAGTCCGTCTTGGTAAGGCAGTCCGTCTTGGTAAGGCAGTCCGTCTTGGTAAGGCAGTCCGTCTTGGTAAGGCAGTCCGTCTTGGTAAGGCAGTCCGTCTTGGTAAGGCAGTCCGTCTTGGTAAGGCAGTCCGTCTTGGTAAGGCAGTCCGTCTTGGTAAGGCAGTCCGTCTTGGTAAGGCAGTCCGTCTTGGTAAGGCAGTCCGTCTTGGTAAGGCAGTCCGTCTTGGTAAGGCAGTCCGTCTTGGTAAGGCAGTCCGTCTTGGTAAGGCAGTCCGTCTTGGTAAGGCAGTCCGTCTTGGTAAGGCAGTCCGTCTTGGTAAGGCAGTCCGTCTTGGTAAGGCAGTCCGTCTTGGTAAGGCAGTCCGTCTTGGTAAGGCAGTCCGTCTTGGTAAGGCAGTCCGTCTTGGTAAGGCAGTCCGTCTTGGTAAGGCAGTCCGTCTTGGTAAGGCAGTCCGTCTTGGTAAGGCAGTCCGTCTTGGTAAGGCAGTCCGTCTTGGTAAGGCAGTCCGTCTTGGTAAGGCAGTCCGTCTTGGTAAGGCAGTCCGTCTTGGTAAGGCAGTCCGTCTTGGTAAGGCAGTCCGTCTTGGTAAGGCAGTCCGTCTTGGTAAGGCAGTCCGTCTTGGTAAGGCAGTCCGTCTTGGTAAGGCAGTCCGTCTTGGTAAGGCAGTCCGTCTTGGTAAGGCAGTCCGTCTTGGTAAGGCAGTCCGTCTTGGTAAGGCAGTCCGTCTTGGTAAGGCAGTCCGTCTTGGTAAGGCAGTCCGTCTTGGTAAGGCAGTCCGTCTTGGTAAGGCAGTCCGTCTTGGTAAGGCAGTCCGTCTTGGTAAGGCAGTCCGTCTTGGTAAGGCAGTCCGTCTTGGTAAGGCAGTCCGTCTTGGTAAGGCAGTCCGTCTTGGTAAGGCAGTCCGTCTTGGTAAGGCAGTCCGTCTTGGTAAGGCAGTCCGTCTTGGTAAGGCAGTCCGTCTTGGTAAGGCAGTCCGTCTTGGTAAGGCAGTCCGTCTTGGTAAGGCAGTCCGTCTTGGTAAGGCAGTCCGTCTTGGTAAGGCAGTCCGTCTTGGTAAGGCAGTCCGTCTTGGTAAGGCAGTCCGTCTTGGTAAGGCAGTCCGTCTTGGTAAGGCAGTCCGTCTTGGTAAGGCAGTCCGTCTTGGTAAGGCAGTCCGTCTTGGTAAGGCAGTCCGTCTTGGTAAGGCAGTCCGTCTTGGTAAGGCAGTCCGTCTTGGTAAGGCAGTCCGTCTTGGTAAGGCAGTCCGTCTTGGTAAGGCAGTCCGTCTTGGTAAGGCAGTCCGTCTTGGTAAGGCAGTCCGTCTTGGTAAGGCAGTCCGTCTTGGTAAGGCAGTCCGTCTTGGTAAGGCAGTCCGTCTTGGTAAGGCAGTCCGTCTTGGTAAGGCAGTCCGTCTTGGTAAGGCAGTCCGTCTTGGTAAGGCAGTCCGTCTTGGTAAGGCAGTCCGTCTTGGTAAGGCAGTCCGTCTTGGTAAGGCAGTCCGTCTTGGTAAGGCAGTCCGTCTTGGTAAGGCAGTCCGTCTTGGTAAGGCAGTCCGTCTTGGTAAGGCAGTCCGTCTTGGTAAGGCAGTCCGTCTTGGTAAGGCAGTCCGTCTTGGTAAGGCAGTCCGTCTTGGTAAGGCAGTCCGTCTTGGTAAGGCAGTCCGTCTTGGTAAGGCAGTCCGTCTTGGTAAGGCAGTCCGTCTTGGTAAGGCAGTCCGTCTTGGTAAGGCAGTCCGTCTTGGTAAGGCAGTCCGTCTTGGTAAGGCAGTCCGTCTTGGTAAGGCAGTCCGTCTTGGTAAGGCAGTCCGTCTTGGTAAGGCAGTCCGTCTTGGTAAGGCAGTCCGTCTTGGTAAGGCAGTCCGTCTTGGTAAGGCAGTCCGTCTTGGTAAGGCAGTCCGTCTTGGTAAGGCAGTCCGTCTTGGTAAGGCAGTCCGTCTTGGTAAGGCAGTCCGTCTTGGTAAGGCAGTCCGTCTTGGTAAGGCAGTCCGTCTTGGTAAGGCAGTCCGTCTTGGTAAGGCAGTCCGTCTTGGTAAGGCAGTCCGTCTTGGTAAGGCAGTCCGTCTTGGTAAGGCAGTCCGTCTTGGTAAGGCAGTCCGTCTTGGTAAGGCAGTCCGTCTTGGTAAGGCAGTCCGTCTTGGTAAGGCAGTCCGTCTTGGTAAGGCAGTCCGTCTTGGTAAGGCAGTCCGTCTTGGTAAGGCAGTCCGTCTTGGTAAGGCAGTCCGTCTTGGTAAGGCAGTCCGTCTTGGTAAGGCAGTCCGTCTTGGTAAGGCAGTCCGTCTTGGTAAGGCAGTCCGTCTTGGTAAGGCAGTCCGTCTTGGTAAGGCAGTCCGTCTTGGTAAGGCAGTCCGTCTTGGTAAGGCAGTCCGTCTTGGTAAGGCAGTCCGTCTTGGTAAGGCAGTCCGTCTTGGTAAGGCAGTCCGTCTTGGAAAGGCAGTCCGTCTTGGAAAGGCAGTCCGTCTTGGTAAGGCAGTCCGTCTTGGTAAGGCAGTCCGTCTTGGTAAGGCAGTCCGTCTTGGTAAGGCAGTCCGTCTTGGTAAGGCAGTCCGTCTTGGTAAGGCAGTCCGTCTTGGTAAGGCAGTCCGTCTTGGTAAGGCAGTCCGTCTTGGTAAGGCAGTCCGTCTTGGTAAGGCAGTCCGTCTTGGTAAGGCAGTCCGTCTTGGTAAGGCAGTCCGTCTTGGTAAGGCAGTCCGTCTTGGTAAGGCAGTCCGTCTTGGTAAGGCAGTCCGTCTTGGTAAGGCAGTCCGTCTTGGTAAGGCAGTCCGTCTTGGTAAGGCAGTCCGTCTTGGTAAGGCAGTCCGTCTTGGTAAGGCAGTCCGTCTTGGTAAGGCAGTCCGTCTTGGTAAGGCAGTCCGTCTTGGTAAGGCAGTCCGTCTTGGTAAGGCAGTCCGTCTTGGTAAGGCAGTCCGTCTTGGTAAGGCAGTCCGTCTTGGTAAGGCAGTCCGTCTTGGTAAGGCAGTCCGTCTTGGTAAGGCAGTCCGTCTTGGTAAGGCAGTCCGTCTTGGTAAGGCAGTCCGTCTTGGTAAGGCAGTCCGTCTTGGTAAGGCAGTCCGTCTTGGTAAGGCAGTCCGTCTTGGTAAGGCAGTCCGTCTTGGTAAGGCAGTCCGTCTTGGTAAGGCAGTCCGTCTTGGTAAGGCAGTCCGTCTTGGTAAGGCAGTCCGTCTTGGTAAGGCAGTCCGTCTTGGTAAGGCAGTCCGTCTTGGTAAGGCAGTCCGTCTTGGTAAGGCAGTCCGTCTTGGTAAGGCAGTCCGTCTTGGTAAGGCAGTCCGTCTTGGTAAGGCAGTCCGTCTTGGTAAGGCAGTCCGTCTTGGTAAGGCAGTCCGTCTTGGTAAGGCAGTCCGTCTTGGTAAGGCAGTCCGTCTTGGTAAGGCAGTCCGTCTTGGTAAGGCAGTCCGTCTTGGTAAGGCAGTCCGTCTTGGTAAGGCAGTCCGTCTTGGTAAGGCAGTCCGTCTTGGTAAGGCAGTCCGTCTTGGTAAGGCAGTCCGTCTTGGTAAGGCAGTCCGTCTTGGAAAGGCAGTCCGTCTTGGTAAGGCAGTCCGTCTTGGTAAGGCAGTCCGTCTTGGTAAGGCAGTCCGTCTTGGTAAGGCAGTCCGTCTTGGTAAGGCAGTCCGTCTTGGTAAGGCAGTCCGTCTTGGTAAGGCAGTCCGTCTTGGTAAGGCAGTCCGTCTTGGTAAGGCAGTCCGTCTTGGTAAGGCAGTCCGTCTTGGTAAGGCAGTCCGTCTTGGTAAGGCAGTCCGTCTTGGTAAGGCAGTCCGTCTTGGTAAGGCAGTCCGTCTTGGTAAGGCAGTCCGTCTTGGTAAGGCAGTCCGTCTTGGTAAGGCAGTCCGTCTTGGTAAGGCAGTCCGTCTTGGTAAGGCAGTCCGTCTTGGTAAGGCAGTCCGTCTTGGTAAGGCAGTCCGTCTTGGTAAGGCAGTCCGTCTTGGTAAGGCAGTCCGTCTTGGTAAGGCAGTCCGTCTTGGTAAGGCAGTCCGTCTTGGTAAGGCAGTCCGTCTTGGTAAGGCAGTCCGTCTTGGTAAGGCAGTCCGTCTTGGTAAGGCAGTCCGTCTTGGTAAGGCAGTCCGTCTTGGTAAGGCAGTCCGTCTTGGTAAGGCAGTCCGTCTTGGTAAGGCAGTCCGTCTTGGTAAGGCAGTCCGTCTTGGTAAGGCAGTCCGTCTTGGTAAGGCAGTCCGTCTTGGTAAGGCAGTCCGTCTTGGTAAGGCAGTCCGTCTTGGTAAGGCAGTCCGTCTTGGTAAGGCAGTCCGTCTTGGTAAGGCAGTCCGTCTTGGTAAGGCAGTCCGTCTTGGTAAGGCAGTCCGTCTTGGTAAGGCAGTCCGTCTTGGTAAGGCAGTCCGTCTTGGTAAGGCAGTCCGTCTTGGTAAGGCAGTCCGTCTTGGTAAGGCAGTCCGTCTTGGTAAGGCAGTCCGTCTTGGTAAGGCAGTCCGTCTTGGTAAGGCAGTCCGTCTTGGTAAGGCAGTCCGTCTTGGTAAGGCAGTCCGTCTTGGTAAGGCAGTCCGTCTTGGTAAGGCAGTCCGTCTTGGTAAGGCAGTCCGTCTTGGTAAGGCAGTCCGTCTTGGTAAGGCAGTCCGTCTTGGTAAGGCAGTCCGTCTTGGTAAGGCAGTCCGTCTTGGTAAGGCAGTCCGTCTTGGTAAGGCAGTCCGTCTTGGTAAGGCAGTCCGTCTTGGTAAGGCAGTCCGTCTTGGTAAGGCAGTCCGTCTTGGTAAGGCAGTCCGTCTTGGTAAGGCAGTCCGTCTTGGTAAGGCAGTCCGTCTTGGTAAGGCAGTCCGTCTTGGTAAGGCAGTCCGTCTTGGTAAGGCAGTCCGTCTTGGTAAGGCAGTCCGTCTTGGTAAGGCAGTCCGTCTTGGTAAGGCAGTCCGTCTTGGTAAGGCAGTCCGTCTTGGTAAGGCAGTCCGTCTTGGTAAGGCAGTCCGTCTTGGTAAGGCAGTCCGTCTTGGTAAGGCAGTCCGTCTTGGTAAGGCAGTCCGTCTTGGTAAGGCAGTCCGTCTTGGTAAGGCAGTCCGTCTTGGTAAGGCAGTCCGTCTTGGTAAGGCAGTCCGTCTTGGTAAGGCAGTCCGTCTTGGTAAGGCAGTCCGTCTTGGTAAGGCAGTCCGTCTTGGTAAGGCAGTCCGTCTTGGTAAGGCAGTCCGTCTTGGTAAGGCAGTCCGTCTTGGTAAGGCAGTCCGTCTTGGTAAGGCAGTCCGTCTTGGTAAGGCAGTCCGTCTTGGTAAGGCAGTCCGTCTTGGTAAGGCAGTCCGTCTTGGTAAGGCAGTCCGTCTTGGTAAGGCAGTCCGTCTTGGTAAGGCAGTCCGTCTTGGTAAGGCAGTCCGTCTTGGTAAGGCAGTCCGTCTTGGTAAGGCAGTCCGTCTTGGTAAGGCAGTCCGTCTTGGTAAGGCAGTCCGTCTTGGTAAGGCAGTCCGTCTTGGTAAGGCAGTCCGTCTTGGTAAGGCAGTCCGTCTTGGTAAGGCAGTCCGTCTTGGTAAGGCAGTCCGTCTTGGTAAGGCAGTCCGTCTTGGTAAGGCAGTCCGTCTTGGTAAGGCAGTCCGTCTTGGTAAGGCAGTCCGTCTTGGTAAGGCAGTCCGTCTTGGTAAGGCAGTCCGTCTTGGTAAGGCAGTCCGTCTTGGTAAGGCAGTCCGTCTTGGTAAGGCAGTCCGTCTTGGTAAGGCAGTCCGTCTTGGTAAGGCAGTCCGTCTTGGTAAGGCAGTCCGTCTTGGTAAGGCAGTCCGTCTTGGTAAGGCAGTCCGTCTTGGTAAGGCAGTCCGTCTTGGTAAGGCAGTCCGTCTTGGTAAGGCAGTCCGTCTTGGTAAGGCAGTCCGTCTTGGTAAGGCAGTCCGTCTTGGTAAGGCAGTCCGTCTTGGTAAGGCAGTCCGTCTTGGTAAGGCAGTCCGTCTTGGTAAGGCAGTCCGTCTTGGTAAGGCAGTCCGTCTTGGTAAGGCAGTCCGTCTTGGTAAGGCAGTCCGTCTTGGTAAGGCAGTCCGTCTTGGTAAGGCAGTCCGTCTTGGTAAGGCAGTCCGTCTTGGTAAGGCAGTCCGTCTTGGTAAGGCAGTCCGTCTTGGTAAGGCAGTCCGTCTTGGTAAGGCAGTCCGTCTTGGTAAGGCAGTCCGTCTTGGTAAGGCAGTCCGTCTTGGTAAGGCAGTCCGTCTTGGTAAGGCAGTCCGTCTTGGTAAGGCAGTCCGTCTTGGTAAGGCAGTCCGTCTTGGTAAGGCAGTCCGTCTTGGTAAGGCAGTCCGTCTTGGTAAGGCAGTCCGTCTTGGTAAGGCAGTCCGTCTTGGTAAGGCAGTCCGTCTTGGTAAGGCAGTCCGTCTTGGTAAGGCAGTCCGTCTTGGTAAGGCAGTCCGTCTTGGTAAGGCAGTCCGTCTTGGTAAGGCAGTCCGTCTTGGTAAGGCAGTCCGTCTTGGTAAGGCAGTCCGTCTTGGTAAGGCAGTCCGTCTTGGTAAGGCAGTCCGTCTTGGTAAGGCAGTCCGTCTTGGTAAGGCAGTCCGTCTTGGTAAGGCAGTCCGTCTTGGTAAGGCAGTCCGTCTTGGTAAGGCAGTCCGTCTTGGTAAGGCAGTCCGTCTTGGTAAGGCAGTCCGTCTTGGTAAGGCAGTCCGTCTTGGTAAGGCAGTCCGTCTTGGTAAGGCAGTCCGTCTTGGTAAGGCAGTCCGTCTTGGTAAGGCAGTCCGTCTTGGTAAGGCAGTCCGTCTTGGTAAGGCAGTCCGTCTTGGTAAGGCAGTCCGTCTTGGTAAGGCAGTCCGTCTTGGTAAGGCAGTCCGTCTTGGTAAGGCAGTCCGTCTTGGTAAGGCAGTCCGTCTTGGTAAGGCAGTCCGTCTTGGTAAGGCAGTCCGTCTTGGTAAGGCAGTCCGTCTTGGTAAGGCAGTCCGTCTTGGTAAGGCAGTCCGTCTTGGTAAGGCAGTCCGTCTTGGTAAGGCAGTCCGTCTTGGTAAGGCAGTCCGTCTTGGTAAGGCAGTCCGTCTTGGTAAGGCAGTCCGTCTTGGTAAGGCAGTCCGTCTTGGTAAGGCAGTCCGTCTTGGTAAGGCAGTCCGTCTTGGTAAGGCAGTCCGTCTTGGTAAGGCAGTCCGTCTTGGTAAGGCAGTCCGTCTTGGTAAGGCAGTCCGTCTTGGTAAGGCAGTCCGTCTTGGTAAGGCAGTCCGTCTTGGTAAGGCAGTCCGTCTTGGTAAGGCAGTCCGTCTTGGTAAGGCAGTCCGTCTTGGTAAGGCAGTCCGTCTTGGTAAGGCAGTCCGTCTTGGTAAGGCAGTCCGTCTTGGTAAGGCAGTCCGTCTTGGTAAGGCAGTCCGTCTTGGTAAGGCAGTCCGTCTTGGTAAGGCAGTCCGTCTTGGTAAGGCAGTCCGTCTTGGTAAGGCAGTCCGTCTTGGTAAGGCAGTCCGTCTTGGTAAGGCAGTCCGTCTTGGTAAGGCAGTCCGTCTTGGTAAGGCAGTCCGTCTTGGTAAGGCAGTCCGTCTTGGTAAGGCAGTCCGTCTTGGTAAGGCAGTCCGTCTTGGTAAGGCAGTCCGTCTTGGTAAGGCAGTCCGTCTTGGTAAGGCAGTCCGTCTTGGTAAGGCAGTCCGTCTTGGTAAGGCAGTCCGTCTTGGTAAGGCAGTCCGTCTTGGTAAGGCAGTCCGTCTTGGTAAGGCAGTCCGTCTTGGTAAGGCAGTCCGTCTTGGTAAGGCAGTCCGTCTTGGTAAGGCAGTCCGTCTTGGTAAGGCAGTCCGTCTTGGTAAGGCAGTCCGTCTTGGTAAGGCAGTCCGTCTTGGTAAGGCAGTCCGTCTTGGTAAGGCAGTCCGTCTTGGTAAGGCAGTCCGTCTTGGTAAGGCAGTCCGTCTTGGTAAGGCAGTCCGTCTTGGTAAGGCAGTCCGTCTTGGTAAGGCAGTCCGTCTTGGTAAGGCAGTCCGTCTTGGTAAGGCAGTCCGTCTTGGTAAGGCAGTCCGTCTTGGTAAGGCAGTCCGTCTTGGTAAGGCAGTCCGTCTTGGTAAGGCAGTCCGTCTTGGTAAGGCAGTCCGTCTTGGTAAGGCAGTCCGTCTTGGTAAGGCAGTCCGTCTTGGTAAGGCAGTCCGTCTTGGTAAGGCAGTCCGTCTTGGTAAGGCAGTCCGTCTTGGTAAGGCAGTCCGTCTTGGTAAGGCAGTCCGTCTTGGTAAGGCAGTCCGTCTTGGTAAGGCAGTCCGTCTTGGTAAGGCAGTCCGTCTTGGTAAGGCAGTCCGTCTTGGTAAGGCAGTCCGTCTTGGTAAGGCAGTCCGTCTTGGTAAGGCAGTCCGTCTTGGTAAGGCAGTCCGTCTTGGTAAGGCAGTCCGTCTTGGTAAGGCAGTCCGTCTTGGTAAGGCAGTCCGTCTTGGTAAGGCAGTCCGTCTTGGTAAGGCAGTCCGTCTTGGTAAGGCAGTCCGTCTTGGTAAGGCAGTCCGTCTTGGTAAGGCAGTCCGTCTTGGAAAGGCAGTCCGTCTTGGTAAGGCAGTCCGTCTTGGTAAGGCAGTCCGTCTTGGTAAGGCAGTCCGTCTTGGTAAGGCAGTCCGTCTTGGTAAGGCAGTCCGTCTTGGTAAGGCAGTCCGTCTTGGTAAGGCAGTCCGTCTTGGTAAGGCAGTCCGTCTTGGTAAGGCAGTCCGTCTTGGTAAGGCAGTCCGTCTTGGTAAGGCAGTCCGTCTTGGTAAGGCAGTCCGTCTTGGTAAGGCAGTCCGTCTTGGTAAGGCAGTCCGTCTTGGTAAGGCAGTCCGTCTTGGTAAGGCAGTCCGTCTTGGTAAGGCAGTCCGTCTTGGTAAGGCAGTCCGTCTTGGTAAGGCAGTCCGTCTTGGTAAGGCAGTCCGTCTTGGTAAGGCAGTCCGTCTTGGTAAGGCAGTCCGTCTTGGTAAGGCAGTCCGTCTTGGTAAGGCAGTCCGTCTTGGTAAGGCAGTCCGTCTTGGTAAGGCAGTCCGTCTTGGTAAGGCAGTCCGTCTTGGTAAGGCAGTCCGTCTTGGTAAGGCAGTCCGTCTTGGTAAGGCAGTCCGTCTTGGTAAGGCAGTCCGTCTTGGTAAGGCAGTCCGTCTTGGTAAGGCAGTCCGTCTTGGTAAGGCAGTCCGTCTTGGTAAGGCAGTCCGTCTTGGTAAGGCAGTCCGTCTTGGTAAGGCAGTCCGTCTTGGTAAGGCAGTCCGTCTTGGTAAGGCAGTCCGTCTTGGTAAGGCAGTCCGTCTTGGAAAGGCAGTCCGTCTTGGTAAGGCAGTCCGTCTTGGTAAGGCAGTCCGTCTTGGTAAGGCAGTCCGTCTTGGTAAGGCAGTCCGTCTTGGTAAGGCAGTCCGTCTTGGTAAGGCAGTCCGTCTTGGTAAGGCAGTCCGTCTTGGTAAGGCAGTCCGTCTTGGTAAGGCAGTCCGTCTTGGTAAGGCAGTCCGTCTTGGTAAGGCAGTCCGTCTTGGTAAGGCAGTCCGTCTTGGTAAGGCAGTCCGTCTTGGTAAGGCAGTCCGTCTTGGTAAGGCAGTCCGTCTTGGTAAGGCAGTCCGTCTTGGTAAGGCAGTCCGTCTTGGTAAGGCAGTCCGTCTTGGTAAGGCAGTCCGTCTTGGTAAGGCAGTCCGTCTTGGTAAGGCAGTCCGTCTTGGTAAGGCAGTCCGTCTTGGTAAGGCAGTCCGTCTTGGTAAGGCAGTCCGTCTTGGTAAGGCAGTCCGTCTTGGTAAGGCAGTCCGTCTTGGTAAGGCAGTCCGTCTTGGTAAGGCAGTCCGTCTTGGTAAGGCAGTCCGTCTTGGTAAGGCAGTCCGTCTTGGTAAGGCAGTCCGTCTTGGTAAGGCAGTCCGTCTTGGTAAGGCAGTCCGTCTTGGTAAGGCAGTCCGTCTTGGTAAGGCAGTCCGTCTTGGTAAGGCAGTCCGTCTTGGTAAGGCAGTCCGTCTTGGTAAGGCAGTCCGTCTTGGTAAGGCAGTCCGTCTTGGTAAGGCAGTCCGTCTTGGTAAGGCAGTCCGTCTTGGTAAGGCAGTCCGTCTTGGTAAGGCAGTCCGTCTTGGTAAGGCAGTCCGTCTTGGTAAGGCAGTCCGTCTTGGTAAGGCAGTCCGTCTTGGTAAGGCAGTCCGTCTTGGTAAGGCAGTCCGTCTTGGTAAGGCAGTCCGTCTTGGTAAGGCAGTCCGTCTTGGTAAGGCAGTCCGTCTTGGTAAGGCAGTCCGTCTTGGTAAGGCAGTCCGTCTTGGTAAGGCAGTCCGTCTTGGTAAGGCAGTCCGTCTTGGTAAGGCAGTCCGTCTTGGTAAGGCAGTCCGTCTTGGTAAGGCAGTCCGTCTTGGTAAGGCAGTCCGTCTTGGTAAGGCAGTCCGTCTTGGTAAGGCAGTCCGTCTTGGTAAGGCAGTCCGTCTTGGTAAGGCAGTCCGTCTTGGTAAGGCAGTCCGTCTTGGTAAGGCAGTCCGTCTTGGTAAGGCAGTCCGTCTTGGTAAGGCAGTCCGTCTTGGTAAGGCAGTCCGTCTTGGTAAGGCAGTCCGTCTTGGTAAGGCAGTCCGTCTTGGTAAGGCAGTCCGTCTTGGTAAGGCAGTCCGTCTTGGTAAGGCAGTCCGTCTTGGTAAGGCAGTCCGTCTTGGTAAGGCAGTCCGTCTTGGTAAGGCAGTCCGTCTTGGTAAGGCAGTCCGTCTTGGTAAGGCAGTCCGTCTTGGTAAGGCAGTCCGTCTTGGTAAGGCAGTCCGTCTTGGTAAGGCAGTCCGTCTTGGTAAGGCAGTCCGTCTTGGTAAGGCAGTCCGTCTTGGTAAGGCAGTCCGTCTTGGTAAGGCAGTCCGTCTTGGTAAGGCAGTCCGTCTTGGTAAGGCAGTCCGTCTTGGTAAGGCAGTCCGTCTTGGTAAGGCAGTCCGTCTTGGTAAGGCAGTCCGTCTTGGTAAGGCAGTCCGTCTTGGTAAGGCAGTCCGTCTTGGTAAGGCAGTCCGTCTTGGTAAGGCAGTCCGTCTTGGAAAGGCAGTCCGTCTTGGTAAGGCAGTCCGTCTTGGTAAGGCAGTCCGTCTTGGTAAGGCAGTCCGTCTTGGTAAGGCAGTCCGTCTTGGAAGGCAGTCCGTCTTGGTAAGGCAGTCCGTCTTGGTAAGGCAGTCCGTCTTGGTAAGGCAGTCCGTCTTGGTAAGGCAGTCCGTCTTGGTAAGGCAGTCCGTCTTGGTAAGGCAGTCCGTCTTGGTAAGGCAGTCCGTCTTGGTAAGGCAGTCCGTCTTGGTAAGGCAGTCCGTCTTGGTAAGGCAGTCCGTCTTGGTAAGGCAGTCCGTCTTGGTAAGGCAGTCCGTCTTGGTAAGGCAGTCCGTCTTGGTAAGGCAGTCCGTCTTGGTAAGGCAGTCCGTCTTGGTAAGGCAGTCCGTCTTGGTAAGGCAGTCCGTCTTGGTAAGGCAGTCCGTCTTGGTAAGGCAGTCCGTCTTGGTAAGGCAGTCCGTCTTGGTAAGGCAGTCCGTCTTGGTAAGGCAGTCCGTCTTGGTAAGGCAGTCCGTCTTGGTAAGGCAGTCCGTCTTGGTAAGGCAGTCCGTCTTGGTAAGGCAGTCCGTCTTGGTAAGGCAGTCCGTCTTGGTAAGGCAGTCCGTCTTGGTAAGGCAGTCCGTCTTGGTAAGGCAGTCCGTCTTGGTAAGGCAGTCCGTCTTGGTAAGGCAGTCCGTCTTGGTAAGGCAGTCCGTCTTGGTAAGGCAGTCCGTCTTGGTAAGGCAGTCCGTCTTGGTAAGGCAGTCCGTCTTGGTAAGGCAGTCCGTCTTGGTAAGGCAGTCCGTCTTGGTAAGGCAGTCCGTCTTGGTAAGGCAGTCCGTCTTGGTAAGGCAGTCCGTCTTGGTAAGGCAGTCCGTCTTGGTAAGGCAGTCCGTCTTGGTAAGGCAGTCCGTCTTGGTAAGGCAGTCCGTCTTGGTAAGGCAGTCCGTCTTGGTAAGGCAGTCCGTCTTGGTAAGGCAGTCCGTCTTGGTAAGGCAGTCCGTCTTGGTAAGGCAGTCCGTCTTGGTAAGGCAGTCCGTCTTGGTAAGGCAGTCCGTCTTGGTAAGGCAGTCCGTCTTGGTAAGGCAGTCCGTCTTGGTAAGGCAGTCCGTCTTGGTAAGGCAGTCCGTCTTGGTAAGGCAGTCCGTCTTGGTAAGGCAGTCCGTCTTGGTAAGGCAGTCCGTCTTGGTAAGGCAGTCCGTCTTGGTAAGGCAGTCCGTCTTGGTAAGGCAGTCCGTCTTGGTAAGGCAGTCCGTCTTGGTAAGGCAGTCCGTCTTGGTAAGGCAGTCCGTCTTGGTAAGGCAGTCCGTCTTGGTAAGGCAGTCCGTCTTGGTAAGGCAGTCCGTCTTGGTAAGGCAGTCCGTCTTGGTAAGGCAGTCCGTCTTGGTAAGGCAGTCCGTCTTGGTAAGGCAGTCCGTCTTGGTAAGGCAGTCCGTCTTGGTAAGGCAGTCCGTCTTGGTAAGGCAGTCCGTCTTGGTAAGGCAGTCCGTCTTGGTAAGGCAGTCCGTCTTGGTAAGGCAGTCCGTCTTGGTAAGGCAGTCCGTCTTGGTAAGGCAGTCCGTCTTGGTAAGGCAGTCCGTCTTGGTAAGGCAGTCCGTCTTGGTAAGGCAGTCCGTCTTGGTAAGGCAGTCCGTCTTGGTAAGGCAGTCCGTCTTGGTAAGGCAGTCCGTCTTGGTAAGGCAGTCCGTCTTGGTAAGGCAGTCCGTCTTGGTAAGGCAGTCCGTCTTGGTAAGGCAGTCCGTCTTGGTAAGGCAGTCCGTCTTGGTAAGGCAGTCCGTCTTGGAAGGCAGTCCGTCTTGGTAAGGCAGTCCGTCTTGGTAAGGCAGTCCGTCTTGGTAAGGCAGTCCGTCTTGGTAAGGCAGTCCGTCTTGGTAAGGCAGTCCGTCTTGGTAAGGCAGTCCGTCTTGGTAAGGCAGTCCGTCTTGGTAAGGCAGTCCGTCTTGGTAAGGCAGTCCGTCTTGGTAAGGCAGTCCGTCTTGGTAAGGCAGTCCGTCTTGGTAAGGCAGTCCGTCTTGGTAAGGCAGTCCGTCTTGGTAAGGCAGTCCGTCTTGGTAAGGCAGTCCGTCTTGGTAAGGCAGTCCGTCTTGGTAAGGCAGTCCGTCTTGGTAAGGCAGTCCGTCTTGGTAAGGCAGTCCGTCTTGGTAAGGCAGTCCGTCTTGGTAAGGCAGTCCGTCTTGGTAAGGCAGTCCGTCTTGGTAAGGCAGTCCGTCTTGGTAAGGCAGTCCGTCTTGGTAAGGCAGTCCGTCTTGGTAAGGCAGTCCGTCTTGGTAAGGCAGTCCGTCTTGGAAAGGCAGTCCGTCTTGGTAAGGCAGTCCGTCTTGGTAAGGCAGTCCGTCTTGGTAAGGCAGTCCGTCTTGGTAAGGCAGTCCGTCTTGGTAAGGCAGTCCGTCTTGGTAAGGCAGTCCGTCTTGGTAAGGCAGTCCGTCTTGGTAAGGCAGTCCGTCTTGGTAAGGCAGTCCGTCTTGGTAAGGCAGTCCGTCTTGGTAAGGCAGTCCGTCTTGGTAAGGCAGTCCGTCTTGGTAAGGCAGTCCGTCTTGGTAAGGCAGTCCGTCTTGGTAAGGCAGTCCGTCTTGGTAAGGCAGTCCGTCTTGGTAAGGCAGTCCGTCTTGGTAAGGCAGTCCGTCTTGGTAAGGCAGTCCGTCTTGGTAAGGCAGTCCGTCTTGGTAAGGCAGTCCGTCTTGGTAAGGCAGTCCGTCTTGGTAAGGCAGTCCGTCTTGGTAAGGCAGTCCGTCTTGGTAAGGCAGTCCGTCTTGGAAAGGCAGTCCGTCTTGGTAAGGCAGTCCGTCTTGGAAAGGCAGTCCGTCTTGGAAAGGCAGTCCGTCTTGGTAAGGCAGTCCGTCTTGGTAAGGCAGTCCGTCTTGGTAAGGCAGTCCGTCTTGGTAAGGCAGTCCGTCTTGGTAAGGCAGTCCGTCTTGGTAAGGCAGTCCGTCTTGGTAAGGCAGTCCGTCTTGGTAAGGCAGTCCGTCTTGGTAAGGCAGTCCGTCTTGGTAAGGCAGTCCGTCTTGGTAAGGCAGTCCGTCTTGGTAAGGCAGTCCGTCTTGGTAAGGCAGTCCGTCTTGGTAAGGCAGTCCGTCTTGGTAAGGCAGTCCGTCTTGGTAAGGCAGTCCGTCTTGGTAAGGCAGTCCGTCTTGGTAAGGCAGTCCGTCTTGGTAAGGCAGTCCGTCTTGGTAAGGCAGTCCGTCTTGGTAAGGCAGTCCGTCTTGGTAAGGCAGTCCGTCTTGGTAAGGCAGTCCGTCTTGGTAAGGCAGTCCGTCTTGGTAAGGCAGTCCGTCTTGGTAAGGCAGTCCGTCTTGGTAAGGCAGTCCGTCTTGGTAAGGCAGTCCGTCTTGGTAAGGCAGTCCGTCTTGGTAAGGCAGTCCGTCTTGGTAAGGCAGTCCGTCTTGGTAAGGCAGTCCGTCTTGGTAAGGCAGTCCGTCTTGGTAAGGCAGTCCGTCTTGGAAAGGCAGTCCGTCTTGGTAAGGCAGTCCGTCTTGGTAAGGCAGTCCGTCTTGGTAAGGCAGTCCGTCTTGGTAAGGCAGTCCGTCTTGGAAAGGCAGTCCGTCTTGGTAAGGCAGTCCGTCTTGGTAAGGCAGTCCGTCTTGGTAAGGCAGTCCGTCTTGGTAAGGCAGTCCGTCTTGGTAAGGCAGTCCGTCTTGGTAAGGCAGTCCGTCTTGGTAAGGCAGTCCGTCTTGGTAAGGCAGTCCGTCTTGGTAAGGCAGTCCGTCTTGGTAAGGCAGTCCGTCTTGGTAAGGCAGTCCGTCTTGGTAAGGCAGTCCGTCTTGGTAAGGCAGTCCGTCTTGGTAAGGCAGTCCGTCTTGGTAAGGCAGTCCGTCTTGGTAAGGCAGTCCGTCTTGGTAAGGCAGTCCGTCTTGGTAAGGCAGTCCGTCTTGGTAAGGCAGTCCGTCTTGGTAAGGCAGTCCGTCTTGGTAAGGCAGTCCGTCTTGGTAAGGCAGTCCGTCTTGGTAAGGCAGTCCGTCTTGGTAAGGCAGTCCGTCTTGGTAAGGCAGTCCGTCTTGGTAAGGCAGTCCGTCTTGGTAAGGCAGTCCGTCTTGGTAAGGCAGTCCGTCTTGGTAAGGCAGTCCGTCTTGGTAAGGCAGTCCGTCTTGGTAAGGCAGTCCGTCTTGGTAAGGCAGTCCGTCTTGGTAAGGCAGTCCGTCTTGGTAAGGCAGTCCGTCTTGGTAAGGCAGTCCGTCTTGGTAAGGCAGTCCGTCTTGGTAAGGCAGTCCGTCTTGGAAAGGCAGTCCGTCTTGGTAAGGCAGTCCGTCTTGGTAAGGCAGTCCGTCTTGGTAAGGCAGTCCGTCTTGGTAAGGCAGTCCGTCTTGGAAAGGCAGTCCGTCTTGGTAAGGCAGTCCGTCTTGGTAAGGCAGTCCGTCTTGGTAAGGCAGTCCGTCTTGGTAAGGCAGTCCGTCTTGGTAAGGCAGTCCGTCTTGGTAAGGCAGTCCGTCTTGGTAAGGCAGTCCGTCTTGGTAAGGCAGTCCGTCTTGGTAAGGCAGTCCGTCTTGGTAAGGCAGTCCGTCTTGGTAAGGCAGTCCGTCTTGGTAAGGCAGTCCGTCTTGGTAAGGCAGTCCGTCTTGGTAAGGCAGTCCGTCTTGGTAAGGCAGTCCGTCTTGGTAAGGCAGTCCGTCTTGGTAAGGCAGTCCGTCTTGGTAAGGCAGTCCGTCTTGGTAAGGCAGTCCGTCTTGGTAAGGCAGTCCGTCTTGGTAAGGCAGTCCGTCTTGGTAAGGCAGTCCGTCTTGGTAAGGCAGTCCGTCTTGGTAAGGCAGTCCGTCTTGGTAAGGCAGTCCGTCTTGGTAAGGCAGTCCGTCTTGGAAAGGCAGTCCGTCTTGGTAAGGCAGTCCGTCTTGGTAAGGCAGTCCGTCTTGGTAAGGCAGTCCGTCTTGGTAAGGCAGTCCGTCTTGGTAAGGCAGTCCGTCTTGGTAAGGCAGTCCGTCTTGGTAAGGCAGTCCGTCTTGGTAAGGCAGTCCGTCTTGGTAAGGCAGTCCGTCTTGGTAAGGCAGTCCGTCTTGGTAAGGCAGTCCGTCTTGGTAAGGCAGTCCGTCTTGGTAAGGCAGTCCGTCTTGGTAAGGCAGTCCGTCTTGGTAAGGCAGTCCGTCTTGGTAAGGCAGTCCGTCTTGGTAAGGCAGTCCGTCTTGGTAAGGCAGTC